AAGTTGATTTTTAATGCTAGAGTCACGGAGACAGGAGTTACGAACTCACCCTCCGATTGATGTTCCTGGCAACAGGAATCCTGGCACTGCATATGGTCCCTTGAGCTCGGCCAGCAATGACCCCAGAGCACAGAGCCATGAGTAGCCCGGGAGAACCGCCAGGTATAGCCTGAAAACCTAGACAAACACCCAACTAAAATAAAAATGAGGGGTTGGAGTGATAGCACAGTGGGTAGGGAGCGGGAGGGCGTTTGCCTTGCATGTGGCCGACCAGGGTTCGATTCCCAGCATGCCATAGGAGCCCCTGTGCACTGCTAGGAGTAATTCCTGAGTGCAGAGCCAGGAATAGCCCCTGTGCATGGTTGGGTGTGACCCAAAAAGAAGAAAAGAAAAAATGAGAGCCCTATGGTTAGTACAGCAGGTTGGGAACTTGCTGTGTGTGGCCAACCCACGCTTGATCCCCACCACCATTGACGGTCCCCCCAGCCACACCAGGAGTGTTACTGAACACAGAGCCAAGAGTGAGACCTGAGTATTGCCAGGAGTAAGCTCCGCACACAGTGATATTCCCCTCACTTTATGCAGTGACCCCCCCAAAAAATAACTAAAATTAAAAGGAAGGGGCTAGAGGAAATGCAGAACGATAAGTTACCCACCTCGCTGGTGGCTCACTGGGGTAAATCCCAGCAGGAAACTCCAACCCCAAGTACCACTTGGTGTGGCCCCAAATTTAAGAAAGGATAAAGGAAAAGAAAATAAAGATCCAATGTCCACCATTGGAAGTTACATTTTATTTTATTTTGCTTTTTGGGTCACACCTGGTGATGCACAGGGGTTACTCCTGGCGGAGCTCAGGGGACCATATGGGATGCTGGGAATCGAACCCACGTCTGCCGCGTGCAAGGTAAATGCCCTACAGGCTGTGCTATCTCTCCAGCCCCAGAAGTTACATTTTAATGATACAAATTATGCAAGCAGCAACGGTAGGGAGCTAAAGTGGCTGTTAATAGTGACTAGCTTAAAATGTTGCTAATATGACAAAGAGCTGATCCGGTAGAAGATACATTTATAATTATATCTAGGCAATGAGTAACAGAGAAGCAAGATACGCCTATTAAAGCCGGCACAAACGAAGAGAAGTGGGCAGCTCAACGATCACTGAAGTCTGAGACTACACTTCTTTCTTTTAACTCTTCAATTTTGGGCCACACCCAGCTGTGCTCAGGGGCCAGGGCGGGGCTGGGAGTGGAACCCAGATCGCAGATGAGCAAGGTAAACATCTTAACCCTGGCACTGTCTCTCCGGTCATTAAAATAATCTTTTTGAAAACATGTACTTCTAATTTGTGCAGGACATACTTTCTTGTTACATATGGAATAATGTAATAAGCTATACTGAAATCTATGTGTGACAGTACTTGGTGTGCTGATACTACTTAAGCAGACTCAAAATGGGGGAATAAACCAGGTCTCTCTCAGGACGCAGGACCCAGGAAGCACACTAAAAAACCAAAACCGGCACGTGGCTTAGGGACGTGGTTCAGTGGCACAAAGATATGGGAGATCTTAAATTTGATCCCCAGGACTGGAAAAGCAAAACTGACTAGAGACAGGATTCACCAATACGGGATCTAGGAAGTTGCCACGTTTCATCTAATTCCCATAATAAGCCCATGTGATGGCAACAATTATCCTCAGGTTGCGGCTGTGTCAGATGAGGTCCAGCAAGGTTAAGATGAGGGCCACAGGGGACGAGGCTCTCCACGGCGTCCGGTGCCCTGACCGTCCCAGACACGGCCTCGTCCAGCTGACCAGTCCCGGCTGGACATCCCGCAGCAGAGGAAAAGGCTGTTCGGTCCTTTAGTAAAACTAGAACCAGGGACCAGGGATGTGGATCCACGGATGGGTTTTGCGCACGAACCTGGGTTTGACCCTGGGGCCCCCAGAGGTCCCCAGCAGCAGGCGCTGAGCACGGCTGCCCGGTCGAAGCGCCGGCTTCTGCACGAAGGCACGAGCGAGCGTCGCGGGAAAACGCGAGCACGCAGGCCCGTGCACCAGCTCCCCGCAAGGCCACGGTCCTGGGGGGGGCGCGCTCCCGGGGCTCTGCTGCAGACCCCGGCCGCGGCGGGAAAGGCTGGCCTCGAGGGGGGCTCCGCGAGGGTGCTGGGGCGCGCGGAGCTCGGCCTGCGGGGTCGGGGGTGCTGCTGAATTTGAACCGGGTCCAAAACCGGTCCGCAAGGATTTCCCTGCTGCACCTCGGGAGGAAACGGACTGAGAAGGGGCGACCGAGGCCGGGGAACGCGCGGACGCCCTGAACCTGGGCGCCGGCCGGCTCTGGGGGGCTCCCGGGGCGGCCGCGTGCGCGTCTCGCGTCCCGGCCCACGACCCCGCGGGCGAGCGTGGGGAGGGCGGGGGGCGCGCACGCGGACACCGGGACGCACGCAAGGACGGACACACACACACGCACACGCAGGGGCCAGACTCACGTGCGCACACGCACACGCACGCACGCACGGGCCGGACTCACGTGCGCACACGCACACGCACGCACGGGCCGGACTCACATGCGCACACGCACACGCACGCACGGGCCGGACTCACGCACACTCGCACGCACGCCCTCCCGCCGGCGCGCAGACCCCGCGTCCCCCGTCGGAAGCGCGCGCGCGGGTCCCGCCCCCGGCCTTCCGGTCTCAGTGTCCCCCGCGGCTCCTCCGGGCAGGCCCGCGGGTGGCGGCGGCCGCGCGGCGCGAAGGTTCCTGTGTGTCCGCCCGGGGCCTGCGCTGCGGGCAGCGGGGGGGGGGGGGGGGGCAGCGGCGCGGGCGGGCTTCGGGCCGGTGTCTCCGACACGCACACGCACAAACTGTTTCTCCAACACAGATAACTGAAACACGCGAACACACACACACTCACGTTTCTCCAACACACGTAACTGCTTCTCCAACACACACAGAGACAACTTTCTCCAACACACAAACACACACGTATTAACTGTAGTCCCAGGTAAGGTGATTTGCTCCCAAGTTTTCGATGCCTCATGCCCTGCAGTACACACAGGTGCACTCAGGGATTCTTGATTCCATTCCACACACACACACACACACAAACGCACGCACGCTCAGCCGCCCCAAACACACACACAGACGGATTTCAGACTCCGAACCCGGACTCTCGCATCAGCACTCCGCAAATATTTGCCCAGCAAAGAGCTTTTCCCCTGGGGAGCAGCAGGTGGGCGGGAAAGCGCAGCCTCAGGTGTGAACCTTCTCTCACAGCTAAACTGAGCTACCCCCCCCCACACCTGTGCAAAGGGCCTGTTTGTTTGTTATCTAAAGGCCTGAAAGGAGTGCTGGGGAGGGGGGCGTGCACATTAAGGGGGCCCTCATCGGCCTGCCCTGTGGAAAACGGCATGGGAAGCCCTCCCAAAATTAAAAGTAGATCTGCCCTGTGAGCTGGCAGTGCCAATCCCCAGGGCCCTAGAGCAGGAGTACATGAGAAATACCAGGGGTGGGAGTGTGATCCTGAGTTGGATCCCCACCCCTCCCCCACAAAGCTGCTGGGCCCAAGAGCTGCAAGAATGGGAGGGTGGGAACACTGAAACTTCGAGGTTTGCACCTTTAAGAGTGACCCCAAGGCCTACTGTGCACTGCTGCGTGTGACCCCAGACAACAACACTGATCTATAAAGATACGTGCAGGTCTGTGCTGACATTCATTTTCAACAGTATTAAAGAGGGGTGCAAGAAAGGTGGACTTGAAAAAGTGCTTCCACTTCTTGGCTCAACCATCTCAGCTACCTGCGCGGGGAGAACTGCCTGGCTTGGGTAAAAGCTGGTCCAGCGGGCGCAACGCTTCAGATTCGCAGCCTTCCCAGCGGAACATAACTTCAGGAGGGGGCAAAATCGTGAAGCAACTTAAGGTTTTGTGGAAACTTCTTTGCTTCTCATCTGCTCCTGGCTCCGAGCTCAGGACTCCCACCCGGCCCGGCGGGTGGACTCGGAGGGACCATGTGGGATGCCAACGCCCTCTCCTCCCAGGAATCTCTTCTCAAACCTCGTTAGTCCCCTCAAGCACATTCCCGGCGCCCACCTCAGTCTACTACGGGCACCGGACAAGACCCGGGAAAAGCTCCAAGTACCAAATGGCAGAAGACTGGCCAGAGATGTCTCTGGAAGAAGAGCCTCAGAGGCCGGCTGGGGTGGGGGGCGATGGGAGGGAGCCCGGGGACCTGGTGCTGGGAAATGCACCCTGGGGGGGGGGGGGCGGGACGGGTGTCATATGACTGAAACCCAGCCAGGAGCAGCTTTGGAAGGGTCTCTCACACGTGATTCAATAAAAAGGTTTTTTTTTTTTTGCTTTTTTGGGGGTCACACCCGGCGATGCACAGGGGTTCCTCCCGGCTCTGCGCTCAGGAATGACTCCTGGCGGTGCTCGGAGGACCACATGGGATGCTGGGACTCGAACCCGGGTCGGCCGCGTGCCAGGCAAACGCCCTCCTCGCTGCGTCCCAGCCCCTCGACCAAAAAAGTTCTAGAAAAGTTAAAACTGCCTCCGGACAGATTTAGAACTTAGTTCTAAAAGGGGGCGGGCCCGTGCCTGGCTCCCCCCTCGGCCGCAGAGGGTCCCCGAGACCCCCGGGGGCGGCCCCCGGTCCGAGCCGGCCCCGCCCGAGTGTCCCCCCGCAGCGCACACGCGCGAGCAAACGGGGGTCCCGCGCCCGGACCCCGCCCGGAAGCCGCCCCGCCCGGGCCGGAAGTGCGTCAGGCCGCGCGCGCGCGCCGGCCCCGGATGCTCGGCCACATCCGGATTCCGCGGCGGCGGCGGCGGCGGCGACGGCGGCGGCGGCGGCGGCCTGCTGGGCGCTCGCACATGCGCGACGGGCCCGCGCGCGCCTCTCGGCGGCCCCAGCGCGCGGCGTCCCGGCGGCGGCGGCGGCGGCGCGGCCCAGGCGGCGGCGGCAGGCGCAAGATGGCGGCGGCGGCCCAGGCGGCGGCGGCCCAGGCGGAGGCGCAGACGCCGCGGGACGCGCCCGAGTAAGCGAACGCCCGGCGGGAGCCTTTGTCTGCCCGGCCCGGGGCCCGCGGAGCAGACGCGCCCGGCCGCGGCCCCCGGGCGAGCCGCCGCGGTCCCCGCCGGCCGCCTCCGAGGCGGCGCCCGCACTGCGCGGACGGCGGCGCCGCGCGCCGGGCCTGAGGGGGGTCGGGCCTGAGGGGCGCCGGGGGTCTGAGGGGAGTCGCGCGCGAGGGGTCGGGCCTGAGGGGCGCCGGGGGTCTGAGGGGAGTCGCGCGCGAGGGGTCGGGCCTGAGGGACGCCGGGCCTGAGGGGCGCCGGGGGTCTGAGGGGAGTCGCGCGTGAGGGGTCGGGCCTGAGGGGGGTCGGGCCTGAGGGGCGCCGGGGGTCTGAGGGGAGTCGCGCGTGAGGGGTCGGGCCTGAGGGACGCCGGGCCTGAGGGGCGCCGGGGGTCTGAGGGGAGTCGCGCGTGAGGGGTCGGGCCTGAGGGGCGCCTGGCTCTGAGGGACGCCGGGCCTGAGGGGGGTCGGGCCTGAGGGGCGCCGGGCCTGAGGGGAGTCGCGCGTGAGGGGGTCGGGCCTTGAGGGGGTCCCCGGGCCTGAGGGGGTCGGACCCTGAGGAGCGCCGGCCCTGAGGGGAGTCGGGCCTGAGGGCGCCTGGCTCCGAGGGGGTCGGGCCTTGAGGGGGTCCCCGGGCCTGAGGGGGTCGGACCCTGAGGAGCGCCCGGGCCTGAGGGGGATCTGCCCTGAGGCGACTCGCGCCCTGCGGGGGGTCGGGCCCTCGAGGCGTCCGGCCGGGGCGCGGGCCCCGCAGCCAGCCCCGGCCCAGCCCGCAGCGCGGGGCGGCAAACAAAGAGGCGGCCCGGGAGCCGCGGGGGCCGCGAAGGGGAAAGAAAGTTCGGGGCGGCCCGACAGGCGGCCCCGTGGCTCGGCCGCCCTGGCTTCGCCTCGCGCGCGGGTCGGGCGCGGCCGCGTCGGGGCCTCCCAGCAGGGTCCCCGCCGGCCCCTCGAGCGTCTCCGCCGTCCCGCCCCGAGCGACCCCCCTCCAGAACTCTTGGCTGGTTGCACAGCAGTTGGGGTCTCGGAGGCGTCCCGGGGGCTCGGCCACTCCCGGCGGGGCTCCGGGACCATGTGGGCTGCCGGGCGCGTGCGGGGCAAGCGCCTCACCGGCCAGCGCCCGGCCAGTTCCGTCTTTTTCTTCGAGCTTTGGTCTCCCGCCCCTGATTCAAACACGGTAGAGGTGGGAGCCTGAGACCGGGAGCGGGTCTTCTGGTCTCGACTCTCCTATTTGCACATCTACCTTGTTGCCGCGCGTCGAGGCACTTTGGCTTGGTGACTTTTCTCCTGGGAAGCCCGGGTGATCGATCCCTTTGCCCGCCATTTGCCTGTGTCGGTGGAAGGGCTCGCAAGTGCGAATCGCTGAGAGTATTCCGTGACAGAAACGTGCAAGAGGAAGTCAAGTAGCACGAGTGGTTGGTGGGGACTGGGCTCCACTTTTCGAGTTCCATTTTTTCTGTTATGCCCACCCGCCTGGCGTTACATGCTGCACTTAAGAAAACGGGAAGACATGCCGATAAACACTCCCACGTGTAGCTGCTTACTTCGAATTCAGCTTTGGTCTCCTCTGCTGTGGCTTGAGAGAGGCCATTCCGTTTTTCAGTCGAGTTTTTGTTTTGTTTTAGTGACAAGCTGCTATAGACGAGGTTTTTATTGTTGGGGGGGGGCTTGGGGACTCTCTGAGGTTGGGGGCTCAGGCAAGTGAAAGTGCAAGGCAGGCACCTTACCCCTGTGCCGGCCCTGATCCTATAGAATCCAAGTTCTTGTCTGAAATGTTAATGCCTTTGGTCACCGCTAGGAACTGGCCAGGTAGACTGTTGGGTGGCCCAAAGGCGATGATTTGCCTAGGTTAGCCACCAGAGCAAAGGGTCCTATGTGTAGCATATTGTGTCCTTGAGTCCATCTCTCCCTCTTCGGCCTGATCAGATTTCAGTTCTTAAACTTTCTGTGGTTCTTAGATTTGCAGCGGGGTGACTGGCTGGCTAGGCCCAGGCCCATTGTTGGACTCCAGGATTAAAGTTAACTTGGCTGGGCTGCAGGTGTTGTCGCTTTGTTAACAGCCACCGACCTGCCATTACTCGAGAAGAGAAAATGTTAAATCACGCAGGAAACAGCGCTTTTTTTGCGTTCCCTCGGGCACAGCTCAATCATGCAGGGGCTTTGTGCTCTATCTTCTCAGGAGCTAGAGTTTCTTTGCAAAGAAAATGTCTCTTGGATGGGTAAACACTTAAAAATTCTAGGTTCCTGACTCTTTGGAAGACTCGGAAGTTCTCTCAAACCTGGCGGGGAGATGGCTGAGAAAATCAAGTATGTGCTTTCATGCAGGAGCCCGGTGGCTAGTGTCCATCACCTGCTGGCCCGCTCCCTCACCCCAGCCCCAACATACAGGGAGCTTAGATGCCCAGATTTTTTATGGGCATGATTATGTGAGTGACTTGGGGTGTTGGTTTCAAGAAACAGGATCTTGCCTGGCATGTGCACTGTGTGAGGCAGTGGTTAAACCCTTCAAAACCAGCGTGTTTGCTTTTGAGAGACCGAACCCAGCTAGGCATCGGCAGCGCGTAGGTAGGTACCTGCTAGAGGTGAGGTAAGATGGTCTAGGCCTTAGGGTTAGAGCAGTGAAAAGAAGATCAAAGCTCATTGGAGAGGCAGGCAGACTGGTGCATGGTCGCGGCCGTTTCCTTGGAGAGAAGGGAAACAGTTGTAGGAATATGTGTGTGGTGGGAGGGGGTGGTGGTGAAGCTGAACTGGTCAGGAAGGAACTCTGGAGTCTTCTGAGCATAGACACCCTGGTGGTCTGTGAACTGAGTATGAGAGTGTGTGCGTGTGTGTGTGTGTGTCCGGGTGTCTGTGTCCAGGGCCGTGGGCAGCAGTGCCTTCCCTGAATGGGAGCAGGGAGTAGGCTTCACATGCACTGGCAGTTTGGACCTTGGAAGGCCTGTAAGTCACCCTCTGCAGTAGGGAGCACTCGGGCTTTTTCTGGAGCACTGCTCGGCAGTGACATTTTAAAAGCATCTTCAGTCAAGTGGAAGCGCTCCTGACTGGTGGAACGTGGTGCCAGCCTCCTGCCTTAGTGCCTCAGCTGTGCGCTTGCCTCCTCGATCCTGCCCGGCGGGCGGACACCATGGCCACGCAGGAGCGGCTCGTTGGCCACCACATGCTGCTCGGAGCTACGGGATTCTGCAGTGCTGTGGGTTGAACCTGGCCGTGCGTGGGCCGGCCCTTGGAACCAGGGCCCCAGCCCGGGAGGTAGCGTTTTGCGTTGTAGTTGCTTCTTGAATCCGGGCCCCTTGACAGTGAGCATTCCTTTAAATAACACTCTGGGTCTCAGCCCTGCCATCCTCCCGGTAGAGTCGTGAGTAACGTATCCAGTGTCTCGGCAGTAATAATAGCCTGCTGCTTTCTCGGCGCTCTTCCAGGACTTCTATTTTAACTGTGTGCAGTCCTTACTGTGAGCTTCGAGGCCGGTGCTTTGCTTCTCTTAATTCAGTAAGGACTGGTGACTGCAGCTAGCAGGTTTATCTTGCCTGAGGCCACGGTTGTGTGGCTAGAGCTGGGCCCTTGGAGTCTGAGTCTGAGCTGCTTGGGGACAGTGCTAGCATACTTGCCACAAGGGCGGGTGTGCAAAGATCCTGGGACACTTTATGTTTGTTGGTAAAAGTAGGTTTCAGAGGTGAGTCGACAGGTTTGGGAACTCCTGAGTTAAAGGATCAAACATTTTCTTCCTGTTTAAGTTGCCAGGAACAGCCTGGGGCCTCGACCCACCACCAAGCCACATCTTGGTTTCAAAATGCTTCTGTTTTGTATACCGGAAAATCCTTCTCGACTTTTAAAAAGGCTCTCTGGGGGTTGGAGAGAGTGCAGTGGTAGGACTCTTGCTTGTGTGTAGCTGACTCTGTTTTGGTTTCAGTCTAAATTCAACTGTTTCTTGAACTTCCTTCTCTAAATTCAGGAAAATAGATAACACATCCCCATTGTGGGGTGGGAGATAAGGGGTGGAGAGGAGGGCTTCCTGGACCAGGAACAAGATTCTGTCTGGTTCCTCAGCTGATTACCCCTCCATGTTAGCAGGCTGTTGCCCTTTTTAATACAAAGGTCCTCTGCGTCCTTTTTCCAAGTCTGAGAAAAGTCTTACCCAGTGAGCACCGTTAATCTACTAGAGAGAAATCCCCGACCAAAGCCAGAGTACAGGAGAAAAGGCTTCCTCTGCAGTTCCCGGGGCCCAGTGCCAGAAATAGACAGGTGGTCTGATGTCCCCAAATCAGGGCAGGACCATGGACCGCCTGTCCCCACTGCTGGCCGCAGGTAACTTTTCAGAGACCCCTTGTCACCACCCCCACCCCTTCCATGCTCTGAAGACAGGGCTGGCCAGAAGGCTCATGAATTCCTCTGCCTGGGAGGTTGCATTGTGGTGGTCCAACCAGTAATATTCGGGCAGTGCCTGGTGGGCCTCTCTGGCTCTGGGTCACTTGTTCGCTCCCAGAATCACCTGCTCTGTCTGACCTGGCCTGGTGAGTCCTTGGCAACGCTAGTTTACTTATAGTTGCACGTAACTGCTCTTGGGTATAACTGCTTTTGGACGCCTTCTCCACCTGCTATCAAGAGTACTCCCGGGGGGGGGGGGGGGGCACAACTGGGGATGGTGGTGATGGGGAAATGTACGCTGGTGAAAGGACCAGTGTTGGAACATTGTATGACTGAAACCAGTCATGACAACTTTGTAACTGTGTATCTCAAGGTGATTCAATTTAAAAAGAAAAAGTACCCCTTTCCTCTTCCAGGCTATCCCTTCCTTATCATCTAGGACTTTAGTGGACCTTTTTGCTTGCTATTTGTTTGGGGTCATTCCCTGACTGTTCTGTGTGACTATATGATCCTGGGGATCCATCCCAGCCTCTTCATGCAGAGTACTTGCTTAGCCCTTTGACCTCTCTACAACCCTGCTTCAATCTGTATTTCCTTTAGTTTAAGCTGTGGCCCTTGCCCCTTATCTCCCACCAGAGTCCTTGTTTGGCAGATAGCGTGGGTTTTTCTGTCATCTCCTAGAAGATATTTCCTTCATCTTTAGATTTGGGGGGAGGGAGCACACTTGGCGGTGCGCAGGGATCACTCCTGACACTGCGTGATCCCTCTGTGTTCCCATAATGCCCTGATTCCAGTCTTTGATCAACTTTTCCCAGGTTCCCACTGCACCAGAGAGCACATATTTGTCATGTGTGGCATTGTATCTGGCCTGGTGCATAGATGCAGGAGGTGGTTTATTTATTTTTTTAACATCAAAAGATTAAGAATCAATAATGCTTAAATTGTAAGGATCTATTTGTAGTGTAGAGTACAAACAGGAAAAGTGAAGGAATTTATAATTGAAGGACAAGTCTATGTCTTTAAAAGTCACGTGATTGATTGCCCGAATCCAAAGAATTTAAATAGTTTGATCTCATTCGGCATTTGATGTTTCGGCATCCCATTGAATAATGCACCTTGTGTTACCGGCAGCTTTCTGAGCAGCATGGACTTGGCAAAATAGAATATAAGACTCCACATAGCCCAAACATTTAAATGTAGAAGCCACCCACTCTCCTCCCTTAATTGAGTTAAAATGTTTTTGCTTAGCATCTGTTGCTATGAACATTTGGGCCGCAGTTGAAATTCAGGTTAAATATCTGCTGAACAAAGGCCTGGGGTAGATCATAAGTTGCTGGTACTGGACTGTTCTTGACTTGCAGGAGGTCCTTTGATGTGATTTGATCTACCTGGTTGCTCAGGGGGTGCTCCACGCTGAGTGCTCACTTTGACTTCGACTCCCTGGGCACTTACGATGTATTTACACAGCTGACTTTAGTCTGGGTATAGAGCAGTATTGGTCACAAAAATTTTAAGGTGTGCTTCTGAATTTCTGCAAAGAATAATTATTTTAACCTCCCTGTTATGTGATTCCTTTAATAATACTTGCGGTATTTGAGTTCGACCACTAGAAATAAAGTTCACTCACTGTTCAGCCCATCATATATCTTTGATGGGCTTGTCATCATGTATCTTTGAAATGAGATGTTCGAAGCTGGTATGAAAATAATTCAGTGACTGATGATCTTCATGTATTTGCTGGGGGGGAGGGGTGGCGGCGGTGTTGGCAGTGGAAATAGGGCACTGAGAGATGAGGTTGCACTCTTGACCACAAAGCCACATCCTCAACCCTCATTGTTGTTACTTTGTTCTAACTGAATGCTGGGTAAATGAAACACTTTTAATCAGTGTGTGATCCTTTTATAGGCTGGATGATGCTGATGATTCTGAGAAGAGCATGAATGAAGAAAATGGAGAGGTCTCAGAAGACCAGTCTCAGAATAAGCACAGTCGCCACAAAAAGAAGAAGCATAAACACAGGAGTAAACACAAGAAACATAAACATTCCTCAGAAGACGACAAGGATAAAAAGCATAAACATAAGCATAAACATAAGAAACACAAAAGAAAAGAGATCCTTGATGCTTCTGACAAAGAAGGCATGTCTCCAGCCAAAAGAACTAAACTTGATGATTTAGCTTTGCTGGAAGACTTGGAGAAACAGAGAGCCTTGATCAAAGCGGAACTGGATAATGAGTTGATGGAAGGAAAGGTCCAGTCTGGGATGGGGCTCATACTCCAGGGCTACGAGTCTGGCTCTGAGGAGGAGGGGGAGATCCACGAGAAGGCGAGAAACGGGAATCGATCTAGTGCTCGGTCCTCAAGTACGAAGGGGAAGCTTGAACTCATGGACAATAAAAACAGTACGAAAAAACGAAGTAAAAGCAGATCCAAAGAACGGACTAGACATAGGTCTGATAAAAAGAAAAGTAAAGGAAGCGTGGAAATAGCGAAAGAGAAGACCACCAGGAGCAAGTCAAAGGAGAGGAAAAAGTCCAAAAGTCCGTCCAAAAGAAGTAAGTCTCAGGACCAGGCCAGAAAGTCCAAGTCTCCCGCCCTGAGAAGGCGATCTCAAGAGAAAGTGGGGAAGACCAGATCTCCCGCGGACGACAAAGTGAAGGCGGAGGATAAAAGTAAGTCAAAAGATAGAAGAAAGTCCCCCATCATAAATGAAAGTAGAAGTCGGGATCGGGGCAAGAAATCTAGGTCCCCAATAGACTTAAGAGATAAATCCAAAGATAGGAGGTCACGGTCCAAAGAGAGAAAATCAAAACGGTCTGACTTAGACAAGGAAAAGAAGCCGATTAAGTCTCCCTCTAAGGATGCTTCTTCTGGGAAGGAAAATCGGTCGCCCAGCAGACGACCTGGTCGTAGCCCGAAGAGAAGAAGTTTGACTCCGAGACGAGACAAATCAAGAAGAAGTCGTTCCCCTCTTCTAAACGACAGACGGTCTAAGCAGAGCAAATCACCTTCCCGAACTCTGTCTCCTGGGAGAAGAGCCAGGAGCCGGTCCTTGGAGAGGAAACGGAGAGAAGTAGAGAGGAGGCGGCTGTCTTCTCCAAGGTAACCAACTCCCCACTGCGCGCCCCCCCACCCCCCTCCTGTGCTGGTGTTGTCCGGCCATGCAACCCATCCTAGAGCAGAAACTCCAGCTCGGAGGTATGGAGTGGGCCTAGCTCGAGCTGTACAGTTGTTCTGGTGCCACACCTGGCAGTGCTCAGGGACCAACTGGCCAAGGACAGGACCTGAGTCAACCGTGGGCCAGGCAAGCGTCCTCACCTTTAATATATTTTGACCCTGAATCTTTTTGAGTTTGTTCGTCACTCCCAGCTTGTTGCTTATGCCTTGTGCCCTGCAGTGCTGGGGACCATCTGCTTCCTGGGATTGGATCTGTGGCCTCCTATGTGTGTACAGAGCCTGTGCACAGAGCCCACTGCTGTCTCGGCCCAAGTGAGGACAGTGTGATGGCCATTTCTCTCTGCTGACTGTATATTTGGACCATGGTCAGAGAATCTTAGTCTCGAGTTGGTGATTTATAATGGTTGAATTTTAAAACTTAAAAACTTGACATGATCAGCATCAGCCTTTCTCCCCCTTCAGATTCATAAATATGATTTGCAGACTCTTCAAGTCCAAGTAATGAGGCAATAAACATGTATGCTTAGGGATTTTTATTTGGGGGGAGGGGCGGTTGTAGAGCTTGAATTATTTGTTGAGTAGTATAGACTGGAAAGAGAAAACTACAAGTTGTAATCTCTTCATTCTTTTGAATTAGCATACCAGCGGTATAAATTGGAACTTGAAAGTGTTGGGTTTTGAGGGGTTTTTTTTCTGTTAACTGCTTTTTAATATACCTAATCTCATTGTTGAAAACAATGAGAAAATGGCATAAGAAATTATTTTCAGGGCAGGAGCAGTGGCACAGCAGGTAGCGCGTTTGCCTTGCATACAGCCAACTTGGGTTTGATTACAGCATCCCATATGGTCCCCTGAGCACCTCCAGGACTAATTCCTGAGTGCATGAGTCAGGAGTAACAACCCCTGTGTGTTGCCAGGTGTGACCCCAAAAGTAATAAATAAATATTTTCCGGCTGGAGCAATACTACAGCAGGTAGGGTGCTTGCCTTGTCTTTGGCCAACCTGGGTTTGATTCCTGGCATCCCAAGTGGTCCCCCAAGCATCTCCAGCTGTGGTCCCAAAGCAAGAAAAAAGAAAAAAAACTCTTTTCTTTTGGAACCAGAGCAGGGGTAAGATTTTTGTCCTGCATGCAGACAATCCTGGTTCAATTCCTGCATGACTCCCAGCACCACTGAGTGCGGGAATAGCATAGTTGAATGCATCTGGACTCTTTGTTTTTATATATTCTCATGATTACTTATAATGTGTTAGGAAATGGACTAATGAGTTCTAGCTGTGGACTAGAAAGCATAGAGGGAAGAAGTGGGGGAGGTTGCAGTCTAAATCACTTTTTTAAAAAAGATCTTTATAGTTAGGTGTGTGAATTATCAGCCAGGGTCCCTTAAACGGATGTTGCTTTGGGCCTGAGAAATTATACAGGGTGGTCATCCTACCTTTGCTAGCACCGGCCCTGGTGGTTCCTTAAGAGTTGCCAGACTGACCTGGTCGATCCTCCTTCTCGCCCCCTCCCCCCATGGACCTGCTTTGGACTGCCAGCCTAGTTAGCTGAGAGCTTCCCGAGGGACCCAGGCCGCCTGGTCCCCACTAGAGAGGAACCCCTTTGGAGGATGCTGCTTTTTGTTCTGTTTTGGACCACACCCGGCAATGCTCTGGGATTCCTCCTGACTCTGCGCTGACAGGTCTTCTGGTAGGCTCAGGGAACCTTCTGGAGTGCTGGGGATCGAACCCGGGTGGCCAAGTGCAAAGGAAGCGCCCTCCCCACTTGCTTACTACCTCTGGCCTCAGGATGCTGCTTTTATGGTCGGTAAAGAGAATTAAGAGTTCTTGCCCATGCACTGTTTCATTTGAATACTGCCTTTGAGTTACAGCTCTTAAGTTGACCTTGAAGTTTGATTATTTTCAGAGAATTCCAAAAGTGTTCTCTGGGTGCTTTACTCTGACCCAGAGGGATAGTGCAGGGAATGAGAGCTCCTGCCCCTGCTTCAGGACTCGGGAGTTCGGCTCTCTTGTCATGGGCCTGGCAGAACCCAGAGCTCTGGTTTAAAAGCCCCTGAATCAGTGACTGTGTAACAAGCCCAAGTCTCTTCATGCCGTGTGTTCATAGCTGCTTTCCATCTGAGAAGGGACTTCACTCCTTCGGGGTCAGCAGTCCCCACCGAGGGTCCAGGTCAGTGGTGCTCTGAGACACAGTTGGAGGCTGATTTTTGTTTGTTCCTTTCAGGAATATTTCTAGAGAGGGCCATTGAATGGCTTGTTCCCCCTGAAAAGGGAGTGGTAGCCAAGGAAGTCTGGGAACCTCTCAATTGGAGAGTTGTGTTTGCAACAATTTTAACTACAAAAAAGGCATGTACGAAGGAAATCACAAAATGCAGAAGTCAGTAAATTATATTTCCCCCCCAGTACCACTCCTAAAAAGTCTGGCCATCGATTCAAGTTTTTTACCGTATAAAAGCGGAATCATACTGTTGCAGTTTGGGGGCTACACCTAGCAGTGCTCATGGTTTACTCCTGGCTGTGTACTGTACTCAGGGATCCATAGAGGTTCAGGGGGCTCCAGGGGTCAGACCCAAGGGAAGCATGTATGTTCCTGCCCGTTGTTCTATCACTCGGACCCAGAATCATCGTTGACCATGATTGGCTTTCTGTAGGAAGCACTTCTGCAACGTTAAGTTCAGGTGGTGGCTTTGTTATTTTCCATCACGAGTGTGATACTTCAGAGAGTACTGCTGTGCTCTATCGTCACCTGTAGTGGTGATTTCGGTTGCTTCCAGGGTTCCACTATTGCGTGTGAAGGTTTCTTTGTGCATTAGATCTGTAGAAATAGAATTGCAGAGTCTTACAGATTTCCTTACAGGAAACTTAGACCAGGGTTACTTCCATTCCTACATACAGTGTTCTCTTCCATACTAATATTTCCTCTGTGTTCGTTGTAAGTACTGTTGTATGTAATCGACTTTGTAAAAATTAAGACTTGTTTGCAAAAAATGTCAACATTCAGCAAGAGGCTCGAGGGACAGCTCTCGGTGGGGCACATGCTCTGTGTGCAGGAGAACTGGGGTTCCTTCACTAAAACTGCATAGTACCACCAGGAGCAACTCCTGGGCACAGCTGCATGCGATTTCCACGAAACACCATCAGGTATAAAATGGCTTTCAAACTGAGGGACTGAATCGCTGGTTTAAGCTGTTGGTATATGTTTGTTTGCTTGTTCCGATTTTTTAGGACATTCCAAGCCCTGAGCCCTCTGAACCATCTCTCTGAGACTTCATCCTGAAATAGTTTAACGATATAACTGTCCCATAATAATAATTTCAGGTGTGGGGCTAGAGAAAATTGGCCTAGCGCTGAAATGGCATTTTGGTTGTCTGAGTCTACACTTGCGCCAGACGTGTTCATGTGCACGTGCCTCTAGGCTGCTGTGTTCTGAGGTGTCTTGGGTGCATAACAGAGACTCGTTTATTTTGGTTTGTTTTTCATGAACTTGTATCTGATTCCCCTAAGAACGCGAACTCGAGATGATCTCCTGAGCAGACGGGAAAGATCCAAAGATGTCAGCCCTCTGAGCAGGTGGTCTCCAGCCCGAAGACGCCTGAGTCGCTCGCCCATGCGCAGGCGGTCTCGCTCCCCCCGGAGAAGAAGCCGCTCTCCCCGGAGACGGTAAGGAGGAGTCGGGGCGGGACTTGTACTCTGTTGCCGTTTGACCTGCAGGAGAAGATGTGCACAGTTAACTTGATGAGCCAAAAGATCAGTTTTCCAAGCAGGACATTTGGTTCTGGCTTTTGAACCAATCCCCAGGGTTCTCACGGGCTGCTCCTGGTTCTGCTGGGGCTTTGTTCCAGGCACTAGTCGGGCAAAGTGCCAGGGCTCAAACCTGGACAGGCCACCTGAAAAGTGTGCTCAGCCGCTAGACTCATCTCCAACCCAGAGCAGGAAGTCATGTTTCAGAAAGATGGTTGGAGGCCCAGGTTCAGGCCCTGCACCATTCGGTCCCTGTGCACTGACCCAGAATTAAAGGCACAGCTGTCAGAAGTTTACATCTAAAACCTAAGTAGACATTCTCTTGTCAGTCTCGTAAAGTTTGTAATCAAGCTGTATGTGTATTTTTTAGTTTTGGGGCCATATCTGGCAGTGCTTAGGGGTTACTCCATGCTTTGTGTTCAGGAATCACTCCTGGTGGTGTCTCGGGGGCCCATCTGGGGTGCCAAAGATGGAATTTGGGTCTGCCGCATGCAAGGCAAGCACCCTACCCTCTGTACTATCACTCCAACCTCTTTATTTATATTTTTAAAGGAGGGGTAGCTTTTTGTTTGGGGGCCATGGCTGGTGGTGCTCAGGCCTCTGCACTCAAGAATCACTCCTGGAGATGCTGGGGATCAGACCCAGGCTGAGTGCTCAAAGGGCAAGTGCCATGCTTCATACTGTTACTCTGCCCCTGAGGAGGTGTAGCACTGTAAAAATACAGTAACAAAAAGCTTAGGATGTAGCCAGTGGCTATTCTTTAGATACTTCTGGGTATGTTTTTGTGCTGTATCACTGTATCACTGTCATCCTGTTGTTCATCTATTTCCTTTTCCTTTCCTGGAACAGGCACCAGTAATGTCTCCCTTCATCGTAGCCCTGAGATTTTAGAAAGTGCCACATTCGAGGCTCTGTCAGGGTCAGGAGAATGAGACCCATCGTTGTTACTGGTTTTTGGCGTATTGAGTATGCCACGGGGAGTTTGCCAGACTCTGCCGTGTGGGCAGGATACTTTTGGTAGCCTGCCAGGTTCTCCAGAGTAAGAACTAGATAGTAAGATGTTCTGCGGTCACAAATGTGGCCGTGCGCTTCCAGGAGTTGGGTTTTATAGTCTCTGGGTCTTGGCCTTTGATGGGATTACACGGCGCCGTGTAACACCTAAATACCTAAACCTGGGTGGAGGAGGCCCAGTCCCAGTCCGAACAGGCTTGGAGATCTATGCCCCGGGTCCCGCACACCTGGGTTCCTCTGACGGTTCCTTCATGTGTGAGGCTCGTCCGAACGTGTGGAGAGTGGTCTTTTTGTGCTAGGTTGCTGGGATTAGATTTTGTCTAAGGTGTTCGTGCTTATGTAAGCTTCCACACTCCATGTTGAATAGCACCCTTCTTCGGGTGCTTCTCACAGGCCTCTGTGGTTCCAGGCATAAGATTATGCTTGCAGTTGCATGGGCGGGAGGGGGGGGGAACCTGCCTTCTCTCACCCCTGGCCTCTGACTCCACATGAAGGGCCAGGCCAGCCTGTAAGACTTAACCATAATTTTCTCTTTTGGCATTTCCTGTGTCCAGTGCCCTTTCCTGTCTTGCTCCCCTCAGTTTCCCTTCTTCATGGGTTTCCTTTGGAAAGGACATAGGGCCTCAGAACAAACTGATTCATCCTTTCCCTTCATTTGATGGTGTCTGTGCTGGGCTACCTTCTGGATGCCTTCTTTTGAGCTCAAGTGCTGCTTGGTCCCCTGGGCACCAGCAGGTCTGGGCCAGCACAAGCACAGGTCTGCAGCCGTGTTGCTGTCCCTGGTGGTGGGCTCAGGCCCTCCTGAGAGTCATCACCTGCTGGGAGCTTGTGGGAATGTTTATGCGGTAAATCCGCCCTTCTCTAGAGTCAGGAGTTTGCCAAGCTCTCTGTCAGCACCACAGAGATCAAAGGGAACCAACCTTTGTTTGCCCCCCAGTGTTCTGGTGTCCCTTTCTGCCAACAAGCACAGGAGCTGCTGCTACTTACTGATGCTCTTGGCAGAGCAGACCGGCCCACTCTAATACTTGTAGATTTCATTAACCATTTTTAAAAAGAAAAGTCAGCTTTATTTTTAGAGCAATTTAAGGTTTATGACAAAATTGAGCTTTTGAAAGAATCCCTGGGTTACCCCCCCTACAGCTGCCTTGTACCCACCGCCCCCTGCAAGACATTTCTCTCAATGTCTTTCTCTCCTCAATTAGAGACAGAGGCCGCAGAAGCCGATCCCGTCTCCGAAGGCGCTCCCGGTCACGGGGTGGTCGCAGACGCAGGAGCAGAAGCAAAGTCAAGGAAGACAAATTCAAAGGGAGCCTGTCGGAGGGCATGAAAGTGGAGCAGGAGTCCTCATCAGATGACAAGTAAGACGGGCCTTCTCCGGGGCAGACAGACAACAGTGTTGAGCTCGGGGCCCTATTCGTTTGTTCCTGGATTAAAGGTTTTCCATAATTACATAACAGAAATAGGAGTTTCTTTTTGGGCTGGTTCATCACCTTCCCAGCAGTCTGCCTTCCCGTCTACACAGCGGGTCTGCTAGTCATGCCTGTGGAGGGGAAGTTTTCCACCAAGGCTGGAAACTGATCCAGGCTCTGCCACTGGGGCCACCTGGTGGCGGCTGTGTCAGTGCCAGCGAGGCAACTTGCAACGCGTCAATCCCTAATAAAATGAGATTTTCTCAATGCAGATTTAATTGTTTAAATAGGAAATCTCAGAAGTAAGCAGCATTTTTTTTAGAGCAGTAATTCTCATTTGGGGGCGATTTGCATCTTTGAGATCATTTTGTGATTGTCTGAGGCCCTTTGAGTTGTCATTGAGTGGACAAAGGCCAGGAGTACTGTCTGAGGTCCTTCAGTCCCTCCCCGAGGGTGACTGGTCTGAAAGATCAGCAGCGCTCACGCCCAGAAGCCGGGGGCAAGGGGGTAGGGGTTTGACAGTGTGCGGCCTGATCCCTTCTGGGGTGCGAGGTCAAGAGGCCTCGGTGAAAGGCATTTTATTCGGGAGAATCTCAGCTCCTTACTCAGCTTTACAATGCATGGGAAATTACCTTTCGAAATCTGAACGTGTTTGAAATTAATTCTGTGCATATGTGTAATGTTTTTTAAGCCTTGAAGACTTTGATGTAGAGGAAGAAGATGAAGAGGCCTTAATAGAACAGCGGAGGATACAGAGGCAGGCGATCGTTCAGGTCTGTGCGTTAGGGACGCTCTGATGTCCACTAATCTGTCCATGGGTAAGATGGGGATTTAGATGCGTGGCTGAGTGGAGCTGCACCTGAGGACCTCGGTCACATCTTCACTGTGCTTGCAAAGATGAGCATTTACTGAGTGGTTGCGCTCTCATGCAGGATTCTCATGGCTCTTTTTTGTTTGGTTCTGATTTGGGGCCCTACCTGGCAATGCTCAGGATTTACTCCTGGCTCTGCACTCCGTGATCACTCCTGGCAGTGCTGCTATACTATCTCTGCAGCCCTGGCTGCTATACTATCTCTCCAGCCTGTACTCTACGTATTTTCGGGTTAATAAATGAGAACTACTAGAGTTAGACGAGTTCTATGTAGTATGAAATCAGTCCTTGTTACTCTGTTTCTGGGAGGGTGATAGCAGGGTGAGGGCTTCCGTGGGGGCTCAAGCCCAGCCCGCTGCCAGCAGTTTTCATCTCGGCCATCAGGGGATGTGCTGGGGATTGAGCCTGGGCAGCTCCCTGCCAAGTTTGCACCTCAGTCCCTGTACCATCTTTACGCCCTGCTGCCAGATTTCTAATGCAACTGTGATTGTTTAAATGAGGCATCTCGTTCATTGTAAAGTTGCAGGGCACCAACTGACCCTCGTTGCTGAGGGGACACGTGGGGTACTTTGAGTTCTCAGTGAGTGGTCAAAGGCCAGGAGTTCTGCCTAAGGTCCCTCCGTCTCATCCGCACCCCCTGACAACTGAGGACAACTGGTCTGAAAGATCAGCACTGCTCAGGCCCGGAAGCCTGCAGAGGGGAGGGTGTGACAGTACACGGCCTGATCCCTTCTGGGGGTGCTCTGTTGGCCCAAGGCACCTGTGGGACCAGGGTGCTAGTACAGCGAATAAGGTGCTTGCCTTGCTCATAGCCAACCTGGCTTTGGGATAAAGCCTCCCATGTGGTCCCCTGAGAATGGCCAGGTGTGGGCCATAAGAAAGAAAGGAAAATAGAAGGTAACTTTGGGCTGGAGAAAGTCCAGCAGTAAAGTGCTTGTCTTGGCATTTGCTGCCTTGGCTTCCGTCTCTGGCACTGCTTGGGGTCACCCAGGCCCTGCCTAGACAAAGCCTGAGCACAGCCAGGTGTGGGGAAGGAAGGCCAATGCCTGCACGCAGGAGGCCCAGCAGTGACCCATGAGCACCACCAGAGGTGGCCAAAAAGCCACGGTTGGTTTCCAGGGGCTGTTTGGTAACATAAGGGGGAGAGATGGGTCTGAAGTTCTGGGGGCCTCTGGCTTCGAGCAGGTGACTGAGAAAATCAGTGTAAGGGGAGTTTGCTTGGGTTTGGTTGTGACCACTTGGCAGGAAGGATGCTGTCCTGGAAGGCCAGAGGGTTTTTTTCTGGACTCAACAGACTTAGTGGACCTTAGATTGGGTTGGGTGTTTGTCGCCACAAAGTGGGAAGCTGAATCACAGATGAACGGGGGCAAGACAAGTCCCAGGGGACTCTTCTAAGCTGCTGAAGTTGTTGCTGAATGCTGTCGCCAAAGACTTGGTTGAATCTTTCTTTGTTCTTGCCCAGGTCCACAATCCCTTATCTCCGATCCTTGGGGCCAGATGTGCTTCAGAACTCAGAAATACTTGAATTTTAGAAAGGAAATATGGTGCGTCTGTGTATGTTACTGAGCCCCGTCTATGGGGTCTGGGACAGCACCTTTCATCAGACACCTCTGGGTCTCTGCAGTGAGGCCCATTCACGTGGGAGACAGGCGCTGAGAGGTTCCCGCACGTGGGTTTGCCGTCTGTGGGCGGTGTGCCCAGCAGAGTGCTGACAGGCTTGCCGTTGTGTATAAGGGATTGTGGATCTTGTTCAACCAAGGCATCACCAGTACCTCTTAAAAACTTTAGATAGCATTTGGCACTTTTGTTTTTTGTTTTGTGTCACCTGGTGGTGCTCAGTGATGCTCAGGGGACTGAGTGTTGCCAGGGTGACTCCAAGGCTCTAGCATGTACTTCCTGTACCCTGCCCTCCGCACCACTCCCAGGCCTGCCCGGCACTCAGTGCCACTCCTCTTGGCAGATGCATTTGTGGGCGTTGGCCGTCAGGACTGACCCTCGGTGCTGTCATTGCAGAAGTACAAGTATCTTGCTGAGGACAGCAACATGTCGGTGCCGTCGGAGCCCAGCAGCCCGCAGAGTAGCCCCCGCACACGCTCTCCGTCCCCAGACGACATCCTGGAGAGGGTGGCCGCCGACGTCAAGGAGTACGAGCGGGAGAACGTCGACACATTTGAGGCCTCCGTGAAGGCCAAGCACAACCTGATGACAGTCGAGCAGAGCAACGGTGAGCAGGGGCTCGCTGGAGGGGCCAGGAGTGCTGATAGCCAGTTCCAGCCCTGACTTTATTTTAGCTGAAATTACTTGAGCTCATATGTCAGACTCTGTGAAGAACATAGGCTTCCTGAAATTGATAGCTTGATGTGTCTGGTGTCCGGTGACAGTTGACCCAGCTCCACGTAAGATGCACTCTCCACGTGTCAGTCTCTGGTCTTGGGTGGATTTTTGTGCGCATTTCCCTTTTGCCATGTCATCTACTTTCTTGTAGCTCCTGTCTCTGGCGCTCCTTGGATGCTAGCAGTTGGTGCTAGAGATGGAATAGCTCTCTGTTTGAGGGCGTGTGGGGCAGGGACCTGTGTCCTGGACCTTAGCAGGTGGTCGGTAATAATTGTTCCGTGTTACGCTTCATTGGTAGGCCAGTGTCTAAGAAGTCAGAAATCCAGAGTGGTGATTTTTGTAAACATTCATCATTCCTTTTAAATTGTTAGCGGATTCTTTAACAGGCTTCATAGTTTGCAGTAGATCCAAATGAAGGTTTGGAGGTTGTACTTTCTAGTGGCTTCTATGACTGTCTCCCCATCCGTGTTCCACACCCTTCTTTACCCTTAAGTTCTTTCCCAAATCCCAGCTCAGTGTCATGGTTGGTCCCCATTGTGGATTACCTAATCTCTTTCTTCGTTTCTGCATTTGAGCATCTGGTGTTTGGGATCAGGGAGGGGCCTCACATCCAGTAGTGCTCTCAGAGCGTACTCCTGGCTCTGTACTCGGGGCTCACTCCAGGTGGGCTCAAGCACCGTGTGGGGTACCAGGAATCAAACCCTGGTCAGCCATATGCAAGGCAAGCGCCCTCCCCTCTGCTATCGCTTTGGCCCCGGCATCTTTTACTTTCCAACCCTTCTCCCCTCCAGTTCTGACCGAGCTGGAACAAACTGCAGAATTTTCTTTTACCTTCCCTGTGGCTGAGTAGGATTCCGTTGTGTACACAGACCAGTTTCCTGATCCACTGGCTGGTTGCTGAGCACAGAGATTATTTTCAGATCCTGGTTTTTGTAAGCAGTGCTCCCGTGGATATAACCGTGTGTTGAACTTTGGTTACTTGCAAGGGTAGTGTGCTGGGAAAGGCAGGGAAAGACTTGGTTACTCGCCCTTAGACCAGGACAGAGTCGGTTTCCCTTCGGGGCCCAGTCACAAGCAGTGGATTTTGGTGGGTTTTGTTGAGGTTTTACTGTTTGGTGTCATGTGTCCTGCATAGGTTTTTATTTATTGGACCATACCTGGTGCTCAGGGCTGTGCCGGAGATGGAACCAGTTGGCCCCAAGCAGCACCTTGCCCACTGGCCTGCCTCTCCAGCCCCAGCATTCCATTTTCTGAATTCTGTTTGGCAGGGAGGGTCACATCTGGTGGGGCCCTAGGGACCACGTGGCACCGAGACTCAGACCTCCGGGGCCTCGTGAGCAGAGCATGAGCTCAGCCAAGTGAGCTCTGTCCCTGACCCCATTGGGAGTTTGAGTCATGTGGGGTTTTTTTGTTTTGTTTTTTGGGGTCTTCCAAGTGGTTCTCAGGAGGCCTCTCCTGGGGCCGTGGCTGTCAGGCCTGCAGCTCAGTGTGAGGGTTCGGGGGCAGCCCTCTGGGGTGTCCAGACTGCACCAGACTGCTCAGGGGCTGTATGGTACTAGGGGTGGAACTGCAAGGCATCTGCCCTCACCCCTGTCTCCCTTTTTTTTTTTTTTTTAGCTTTTGGGCCACACCCAGTGATGCCCAGGTTTGCTCCTAGCTCTACACTCAGAAATTAGTCCTGGCAGTGCTTAACGGACTTTATGGAATGCTGGGATTAAACCTAGGTCAACTGCATGCAAGGCAAACACCCTCCCTGCTGTACTGTTGCTCTGGCCCCATGGTTTCTTTTTGAAGCACAAATCAATCTCAACTGAATGGGGAGGGAGCCTGTTAAGTGAGTTTGGGAGGGGAGGGAGGGAGAGGGAGAGGGAGGGAGAGGAGAGATTTTCCACATATGGTAGCTCAAAGGATACAGCTCCCCCCTAAAATCAGGGCCATAGGGTCAGGCGCAGAGCGGTAGTGCAGTGGGGAGGGCGCTTGCCTTGCCCACAGCCTTCCTGGGTTCATTTCTAGTACTCCTGTGGTTTCCCTGAGCACCGCCAGGTATGGCCCCAAAACAAAGAGAAAACAAAATTGGGCGCGAGCGGGTGGCGTGGGAGGGGTGCGGGGATCTGCTGGGGCTACAGCCGGCGGTGCATGGGACTCCATGGGCTGTGGGGAGGCAGGCCCAAGGTCTCAGGCGGGACCATGTGTGTGCTCTGCCAGTCGAGGCATTTCTCAGCCACATCTGGCGGAGTACTGGGGAGTGTATGGGGTGCCAGGGACTGACCCTGGTGTCCGCGTGTTGGGCAAACAACCTACATTGCTGTACTGTCGCTTCAGCCTGAACAAATGATCTGAAAGATGTTTGTTCTTTTGAACTAAGCTCCCTCTTAGTTAAAAGTGGATTGTGGAAAGTGGGTTTCTTGGGGCCGGAGGACAGCACAGCAGGGAGGGCGTTTGCCTTGCCAGTCTGGGTTCAATCCCCAGCATCCTGTATGGTCTCCTGAGCACCGCCAGGAGTAATGCCTGAATGCAGAGCCAGGAGCAACCCCCGTGCATTGATGGGTGTGACCCAAAAAGGGGAAAAAAGATTTCTTACATGCTACAAGGTGATTTTAAATTGGGTGTAAACGAGAACCTGCTATGGGAGGGAAATCTAAATGCTGTTAGTGGTTTTCCATCGGCAGTTTACCTGTTTTGATTTGTAACTCTTCATTTTTTAAATATGAATGCTGATGTCCTTTAAGGTTCATCTCAGAAAAAGCTGTTGGCACCTGATATGTTTACAGAATCTGATGACATGTTTGCTGCGTATTTTGACGTAAGTGAATTTTAAGTTCCTTAAAAACATAGCTATTTAAGTAGCAATAAGCCTTGAGTGAAGCCTATCCCCCAAAAGTAATATGTACATTTAATAATATTTTATATTTTTAAAAGTGTATGAAAATTAGCATTTACTCTGGGTTATGGTGTCTGGAAACTCGTACTCATTTTGCAACAATTTCTAAATTTTCCTAGTTGCTCTGAAATTTGGTCAAAAGCACAGCGGTAGGGTGTTCGCCTTACAAGCGGCCAACATGGCCGACCCGAGTTTGATTCCTCCGCCCCTCTCGGAGAGCCCGGCAAGCTACCGAGAGTATTCAATATGCCAGACACAGTAACAACAAAGTCTCCAATGGAGACGTTACTGGGCCCGCTCGAGCAAATCGACGATCAACGGGAGGGCCTTTACCTTTACCTTTAAAATAAGTGCAACAGAGAAATTAGTTGACCGAGAATTTGGAGCTCATGGGCCTGAGCAGGGTAGTACAGCAGGAAGGGTACTTGCCTTGCACACAGCTGCCCCGGTGCTATTCCTGGCATCCCACTTGATCCCCCAAGCTCACCAGGAATGGTTACTGTGTGCTAAGCCAGGAATAACCCCTGAACACTGCCAGACATGGTCCAAATACCCAAAAAGAATTATTTGGATTTCGGGACCCAGGGAGAGCTAAGGACTGCCCTCCGTGTGCCTGAGTGCAGGGCCCGGGGTGCCACCCCTGGCCCACTGGCTTCCTGAGGATTGCCAAGTGTTGCCAACAAAAATTGATCAAAGAATTATAAATGTTAAGAGTATATTAAGTTTTGGTCTTTCGGCCTTTTGTTAAAGTTGTATCAGCGCCATTTCTTGGAAAAATCAGCGTATTCAGGTATCTTGACTATTTTCATTGTAAATTTAAGATAAGCTGAAAAACTGTGTTTGGGAAGGGTGTCTATTGCGTTCTGAGAACATGTGATAGGAAGTGTCAAGTGGACTCCAGGGAGCCATCAGTGTTCAGGGCGCCCGAAACTGAGTCCGCATCTGGCAGAGTACTGGGTGCCCAAAACTGAGTCTATGGAAGACGTGTTGTGGACACATGCTTGACCACACACAGGACTGTTGGCAAGAAGAGCAGATTCAGAGAGGAGACATTTGCGCCTTGAAGCGCACAGTCCTAGCTGCAGGGTGCTCCTGTGGAGAGGGGTGTGATACAGAGGGGAGGGCACTCGTTCCCAGCAGCCAGCATTGTGTTCGTGTCTGGGATTGAGGAAGAGGCATTGGAAGAAGTGTGGGAAATGGTGGGCTGGAGAGGGGCTTGTAGTTGTTAAGTGGGCACCCGTTGAGAATCTTGGTCCTGTCTCAGTAGGTTGAGAGTTCGCTCTTGTTTTGATACTACACTTGATCTTAGCCAAAAGGCCGAGAAGCGATGGGTCTTGTTTTATTTTGTTTCGAGGCCATGCCTGGCAGAGCTCAGGAGTCACTCCTGGCTCTGCGCTCAGGAATCACTCCTGGTGGGGATCAGGGGGACTACATGGGTGCCGGGGATAGAACTTGGCGTGCAAGGTAAGCGCCCTCCCCGCTGTGCTCTTGCTCCAGCCCCTGGTTTTGAGTTCTTGCCTTAGAGGCACTGAAGGACTGTAAGCATCTGCCTGCTGAGTGGGGAGTAACCCGTGCTGCCCCCTTCGTTTCAGAGCGCGCGTCTTCGGGCTGCAGGCATTGGGAAAGATTTCAAAGAGAACCCCAACCTCAGGGATAACTGGACTGACGCGGAAGGCTATTACCGTAAGTGGCGACTGTCCTTGTGCTGGGAGCTGCCTGGTGGTGAGGTTTCTGGTCGGTGGCCACTTAGCATGTATTTCTCTGTGTACCGGTCTGGTTCTGTTTGTTGTGGCCCAAACTTCATTTTCAATGTCTTCTTTCAGGTGTGAACATCGGCGAAGTCCTTGACAAGCGTTACAATGTGTATGGCTACACCGGCCAGGGAGTCTTTAGCAATGTCGTCCGAGCCAGAGATAACGCCAGAGCCAACCAGGAGGTGGCCGTGAAGATCATCAGGAACAACGAGCTCATGTAGGTCCAGACCTGCGGGTGCAGCTTTTTATGGAAGCCTCAGTCTGGGAGAAACACCCGAGACTGACGGAAGTCCTTGGCTCTGCCTTCTGTGCGCATGGATCTTACATCCCTCCTCCTTGTGCTGCCTTGGTGGTCTTAGACTCAGGCCAGCTGCTGGGGAAAGAGGGGTCAGCTCTCATTGCATGTGAGGGTGCACAGAAACTGAAGCCCTTTCATCCGTCCCTCCTCCCTCTGTTGGACTGGCAGTCATTGCCATCTCGGGGGGGGGGTGGAGGAGGTTGGCTGGTTTGGGGGAGGCTCCAAAGCTGATGCCCAGCCCAGCTGTACTCGGGCCTTACTCCTGTGTGCTCAGGGATCACTGCTGATGGTTCTCTGGGATTGAACCTGAGTCAGTGCATGTTAGGCAAGCACCCTCCCCCTGTACTCTCTCTCCAGCCCTTTCATCCAAGTATTGAAAGCATAGGCTACACCATATGCTGAGTTAGCGTTGATCAGTTTGCCGTTAGTTTCTGAAGCACTGGAAAGATGTGGTACCAATTTATATAAAGTCTTAGACTGCCTAAGATTTATGTACGCATTGACCCAACTCTGATCCTCGGCGTCTCATACTGCCCCCCAAGCATGCCATGAGTCAGTCCTGAGCACCACTGTTGTCACTCAAAACCAAAATGTATATATCTGGTTGTGGGGTGGTGCATAAGAGAGAGAATACAGGGCTTAAGGTGCTCACTTGTATCCTGCCGACCCGGGTCCAAATCCCCAGTACGTAAATCCAGGACTGGGTGGTGAGCCACAGCCGGCTCTGGCCCCAAACCATAAGTGATGAATGTCTCTTGGAGCTCGAGTTGCAGCACAGGACTCAGCACATGGGGTGTGTCTCTCCCCGGCATCACACAGACCCCGAGACTGCCGAACCCTCTCATCACACCCCAGGCCCTCAGAGCACTGCTTTGGAAGCCATAAAATGAACGTGAATCCACGGGCAGAGAGTGGGTAACAAGCAGGTTCTTGCCTTGTGTGAGCGATAGGGACTTCGGCAGCCGGGGTGCGGCACACACAGGCTTGATCTACCACCCCACGCAGCATCAGGTAGTCACGTGCCCTGCATTCTGGTCATCATTGATTTCCACCAATTCTCCTTTGATTTTCAGGCAGAAGACTGGTTTAAAAGAACTCGAGTTCTTGAAAAAACTAAATGATGCTGATCCCGATGACAAGTTTCACTGTCTGCGACTCTTCCGGCACTTTTACCACAAACAGCACCTGTGTCTCGTGTTTGAGCCTCTCAGGTATTGCGTCCGTGCCTCCTGTGTGTCACACTGAGATCCGGAGACTTGTGTGTTACTAGTTAGCCCTGATTTTTGTTCTCTCTCTTTTTTGGCGGGGGTGGGGGGGGTGGGGGTGTTGGAGTCACACCCAGCAGTGCTCACAGTTTATCCTGGCTCCACACTCAGGACTCACTCATGGTTGGGCCATGGGAGACCATATGGGGTCCTGGGGAGGGAACCCAGGTCAGCCTCGTGCTAGGAGCTGCCTCACCCTCTGTGGCATTACTCTAGCCCCTGAGTTTGTCCTTAGCTTCGGGAGCTTTGAGAGCCAGGTTCTTGGCATCATGAAGTGCACAAGCAGTGACTGATAGGGCTGCGTCTCTGACTCGAGCACACGTAGTCTGCTCAAGATCAGCCGAGAGGAAAGGGCATGGTAGTGGTGGGATGAAGAATAGGGTTCTGGGGTTGGAGAGATAGCACAGCAGGTCGGCACTTGCCTTGCACACTGCCAACCTCTGCTCAATTCCCAGCACCCCAGGTAGTCTCCTGAGCATACTCCCAGAGTGATCCCTGAGAACAGAGCCCGGAGGAAGCCTTGGCATAGCTGGATATGGTCCCCTTCCCAAGAAGAGAATTGTTGGGGTCAGAGAGTACAGTGGGTAGGGCCCGTCTTTCATGTGGCTGACCTGGGTTTAATCCCTGGAGCCCCACCAGGAATGGTTCCATTCTTGTACTTGAAAATACAAAATTTGCCTTCTAAGATCAGTAGAAATTCTACCATGTCTTCCCTCTGCTTATTTGAAGGTTGAGTTTTACTGAGAAACTGTGTGTGTCAGTATTTTCAAGTGTCTCGTTTCCGTGTAGAACAGCTTTTCTTTAACAGGTTTGAGTTTAGGAACCAAGGTTTCTGCTTTTTTTTTTTTTTAACCTCTATTTCACATTTTAACCTTTTTCTTCTCTCCTGTAAGTATGAATCTGCGAGAGGTGTTGAAAAAGTATGGCAAGGACGTGGGGCTCCACATCAAAGCTGTGCGCTCCTACAGTCAGCAGCTGTTCCTGGCACTGAAGCTCCTGAAACGATGCAACATCCTGCATGCCGACATCAAGCCCGACAATATCCTGGTGAGTCGTGACGCTCGTCCTCCTGTGAAACCGCAACCGCTCAGTGCTCTAGAGACAGCCTGTAGGTCTCCCTGCAAGGAAGGTGGGCGTGAACTGTGGTGGACAAAGCAGAAGAGGGGCTGGAGAGCTGCCCTCTTAGACTCGGGGCCCAGCTTGTGGCAGACTGTGGCCCACAGCCAGGGGGCGCTGGTGGGTAGTGAGGCTCCTCAGGGTCCAGCCAGCGGTGAGTCGGGCTGGTGCTTGTGCTCCCCCATCCCCATTCACAGACTAGTAGCATGGGGGACCTTGAAGGACTCACACTGCTGTGGCAGGTGTGGCCCATTGAGTTCCAAGGTGGCCAGGAGTGAATGTTGGTTTCATTGCTCAGAAGCTGTGGCTCTTGCGACTGGAGCCCCGGGCTCAGTCATGGCTCTGCTGTCGCATTGAGTGGTACCTTCCGGCACCCCACCCCCACCTCGTGACATTCAGAATGTTTCTCACTGTGCCAGAGAGAGTCGAGCAGGGAGGGCACTTGACTTGCACACTGCGACCCAGGGTCCATACCCAGTGAGCACAGTCAGGGGTGGCCCGAGAACCAAAACTAGAAATAAACTTGAGAACGACGATCATCTTCAGATGAGTGCTTTATTCTCTCTCAGGATATAACCTGGATTATCCTGCTTTTGAACAGTTTCTGTTGGTTTGATTGGGGCCCACGCCCAGTAGTTCTCAAGGCTTTCTTGGGGGGCCTACTGTGGTCCCCGGGGAGATTTTCTACTGGTTGCAATCAAATGGTGATTCTAAACTTACTTACGTTAGGAAATTGAGTTATAAAGTAGAAAAAGATTGTTTTAATGAGTGACTTTGCTGGAATAACTCCTCACGGCCAATCTTTGATTATTTGACCTGCTCTTTCTGACAGAGATTGAACTTTTAAATTAAATGTTTTTCAGGTTAATGAATCAAAAACGATTTTAAAGCTGTGCGATTTTGGGTCTGCCTCTCATGTTGCGGACAATGACATTACGCCTTACCTTGTCAGTCGGTTTTATCGCGCTCCCGAGATCAGTAAGTGTCTGTACCGTTCTTTGGCCTGGGCCACCGTCTGCGGTGGAGACGGCGTCTCTAATGTCTAAGTCCTGTTCTCATCGCACTTCAGCAGCCAGCCAGCGGCACGAGGTCATTCCTGAGGAAGGGAACCTAGCAAGTTCATCCTCAGGTGCAATGACGTAGTTGGGACAGGAGTCTTGATCATGTCTGGCAAGAGTAGCAAACAGTTGTGGAAAACCCTCGACTTTAGAAGACTGCTCTTGATTACGCAAGGTCTGATTATCACGTTTATGGATTGTCTGGGGCCTTTGTTTTCGCTCTCCTGTAGCCCTGGTGGAGGCTGAGTAGCACCTCCACCCGGGCGCAATGCAAAGAAGAAGCCCACGTTTTCTTCTGCCCCTCAGCCCCCCCAACTCCCTCATCTGTAAAGGATAAGATTTTTAAGTCTGAGTCTCTGTTTAGAATTAGTGGGAAAGCGCAAGAAACTAATTTGAGTGAGGTGCTGAGATTGTGGCTGCACGGTCCAGACTAGATTAACCCCCTCGCCCTGTAGATGAACGTTGTGGTTGGTGGTTTCGTTCGTTATGTATTAAAACCTCTTTTTTTTCCAGTTATAGGTAAAAGCTATGACTATGGTATAGATATGTGGTCTGTAGGTTGTACCTTGTATGAACTCTATACTGGAAAAATTTTGTTTCCTGGCAAAACCAATAACCACATGTTGAAACTTGCCATGGATCTCAAAGGAAAGATGCCAAATAAGGTAAAGTTTGGGAGTTGGCTTTTTTTTTTCCTTCTTGTCTTCCCCAAGCCTTTGAAAATTTCTTGGTAAGAATTTCCTGTAAGCTGATGGTTTGCCACCACTGGCACATTGTCAGTGGCCATAGCATGTGGCATTTGCGCCAGGCAGGTACGTGGCTGCTCATTTCTGGGGAAAGAGGGCTTTCAGAAGAGAATGCCCCTTTCTTCCCCCTCTGAAGTCTGTCTGCGTTTCGGGGGAGGGGAAGGGCAGTGGCTTAGGGTGAGATTGGAATCGAGGGCAAGACCTTGCCTGAGCACCTGCTGTGAGTCACTTTCCTCAGGCGTGTTCTCACCTGGAACTCCCCACCAGTGCTTCAGCGGCTGTAAAATCAAGTTTTGTCACCAAAACAATCCAGCCAACACCGAACTCTGACATTGGCGGAGCGCAACATGCATTTGTTGCTGTTCTTCGGCCAGAGATCCTAATCCGATGTGATGGGTTCAAGTTGCTGCCAGAAAGTCGTGGCAGTGACGGGGCTCTCGGTGCAGGGGTGTGTCAGCTCTGCGCAGGACTCGCTGCAGGCAGTCAGGCATGTCCGGGAGAGGCTGGTCGCTGCCTGCATAGACTCTGAAGCCCAAATACTGTGTTTGTTTTGTTACCAGATGATTCGAAAGGGTGTATTCAAAGACCAACATTTTGATCAAAATCTCAACTTCATGTACATAGAGGTCGATAAAGTCACAGAGAGGGTAAGTCTCACAAACGTGCCCCATTAAATGATTCTGTCACAGAGAGGGTAAGTCTCCTAAGTGTACCCCATTAATTGATTTTGGTTCTTCTTTGGGAGGGTGTTGGGATCATCCCTGGTGGTGCTGGGGGACCATATGTGGTGCCAGAATCAAGCTCGGGTTGGCTACATGCCAGGCAAGCACCTTACCCATCCTGCCCCTGTCTAACTGATCACTCAGCCCCTGTCTAACTGGAGCGTATTATTGCTTGTGATGTCAGTAGCTGCAAATGATCATTTTTTTGCTTTTAGTTGATTCTTCATTGACACAGTCAACGAATAGATTTTATTTATTTAGATTGGTGGGGGCGGGGGGTACCCAGCTTTGCTGAGTGCTTATTTATAGCTTTGCACTCGGGTGGTGCTTGGGGACCATATGTGGTGCCGGGAATTACACCAGGTCAGCTGTGTGCAAGGCGAGCACTTTGCCCGCTCTGCTCTCCTCGGGTGAGGTTTCTTTTGAATGTCTAATATAAAGAGCTTTTTGGTTGGTTTTTTTTCCTCAGTGTCTTACTAACATTAAGGCCTCTTCTTTTCTTCTTTGGACTTGGTTAGTCTGGTCACCCCCCTACCTTCCACCAGAGTGGGGTTTTCATTGTTACGGTTTGGTTTGGGGGCCACACCTGTTGGTACTCAAGGGTCACTCCTGGCTCTGCACTCAGAAGTCACTTCTGGGTTCTCCTGGGACCATAGGGGGTTCTGGGGATCAAACCCAGATCAGCCTTGAGACCACTCCCTCCCCAGTTCCAACCAGCATTGTTGATTTTCACGTTGTTCCTTTCCTCTCTGGCTGCCCAGGCCCCCCTTGAGTTCTCTCTCTGCTCACTGACTGCTGGAGCTCGTTTCATTTATTTCTTTAAATTGAGATTCTGTGGTCTAGAATACTGTTGCTGCTCTTGGCCCCGTCTGCCCCATGCCTCCCCGTCCTGTCTGTGTGAAGCTGTTTGATTTAGTCCCCTGCAAGCCCCAGTGAGTGTGACCGGTTCCTTTGGTCCTCTGACAGAAGAACCAAGTCTTTGCTTTAAGGATGCTGCTATACATGTTGATAGCTGTGACAGGCAAACAGTCTGAACCAAGTGTGTGTAGTGACTTATTTAGAGATACGCGGTTTTTGTTTTGTTTTCTTTTGTTTTCTGATGATTTTTAGGAGAAAGTCACTGTCATGAGCACCATCAATCCCACTAAGGACCTGTTGGCTGACTTGATTGGGTGCCAGCGGCTGCCTGAAGACCAGCGGAAAAAAGTGCACCAGTTAAAGGACTTGCTGGACCAGATCCTAATGCTGGACCCGGCCAAACGGATCAGCATCAACCAGGCCCTGCAGCACGCCTTCATCCAGGAGAAAATTTAAGCGAGACGAAGAAGCTCTAAGGGTTTGAGTAATTAATGCAAAGACTGAAGAAATTTCACAGCAGTTTATTCATGTATATAAACTTATAAATATTTCTCCTGCAAATTTGAGGAAGCATGATATATTTGAATTAACACCAAGGGTGATAATTTCTTTTAGAAATGTTAGTTAATCTGTTTTGTGTCTTATGTGAAATTTCATTGTAGAACTGTTTTAATTGCCAAGACTGCACAGATTACAGTGCTAATGTATATGGTTGCAGTTCACATAAAAGACCCCCACCCCCACCCAAAAAAAAAGCACCTGTTATAAAATGAGTCGTAGTGTTGGGTGGTTGATTTATTTTTAGCAGACTTGGCATCATTTTGGGCTCCAGATGAAATGGCCAGCATAAATGCTGTTTATATCCGCATTCTCCTAGGTGTGCGCAGGCCACAGCAGCCCTTGGTGCGGTCAGTGCCGAAAGGGGCCTGTCCTCCTTGAGCCTGCCCGCAGGGACGCTCCTTTTAAAGCAGGGTGCGCGGCAGTCAGTACACTGGAGGTAAGCTGGACCATCGCGTCACTGCTGGTGTGAGGTGGTATTGATTGGAACAGCTGACAGGAGGGATAGTGGCTGTGTGGCAGATTCCCTGCATGTGTGGTACCTGATCTCGGTTTCTGTTTCGGCATTGCGACTGCGGCATAGTTGCAGTTTCTGTTCTGTCTATCCCGCTGGAGACCAGAAGCGTGTGCGCCTGAAGGGGGAGCGCCTTCAGTGGACTGTTTCTTACTAACTTTGATTTTTTTAATCAACTTGCTATATAGACTTTATACATTTTGTTAAATAAATACAGTTCCTAGTAACGTAGAAACCAGGCATAGTTTTCATTTACTAATTACAAAGGTTGAGGCCTGATTCTGAAAGTCCTCCTATTTAAAAGTTAGATAGGCAACATAAATGAAATTTTTAACTATTTGTATGTCATTTTGAAAGTGTACTGCTTTATGGTAAAAGTGTTTTTCATCTGTTCATCGTTTTCATTATTTGTGATCATGTTGTCTTTCAATACAGGCATAACCCTTCCACTCTTGAGCAAAGCAGCTGCTTTTTAAAAGCGGTAATTGCTTCTTTACCTTTTATTTCTTTTGTAAATGAAGCTTTTCTTTAAGAATGTGACTTTAAAGTGTTGTCTATTGCATAAAACAGTTGACACTCACTTATTGTAAAGTGAAGATTGTTCTACTGCATGTGAAATGGCCATGCAGGTTTCTGTATGTTTCTCAGTATGCATCACTAGGTAATAAAGTCTTTTGTGAACCAGGCATTTGTAGCCATTTTTAAAAGTTCTTGTCTTCAGTGCTGGTAAGTCAGGTGAACTGTAAATAGTTATCAGAGCAACCTTTCATTTCTTCCTTTAAGTCTTTAACTGAAACAGTTACTTGTTAAAGAAGTAGGCCTAGTAAAAGTAATGTTATTAATAGGATCCTAAGTATTACATTTAAAAAAAGCCCTGTAAATACTGTCAGCTTTCAGTGTAGTGAGATAATTCCTGTAGGTTATGGGGTATAATTCAGGATTTAACTAATGTTTCTGCTATTTTCTCACTTTTCCTTTTGATGGTGCGGAAAGAGAAAAAGGAAAACGGGCACAGGCCATTCAACGCCTTCTCCAAGGGTCTGATTTGCTGAGACACCAGCTTCACCTTCCTAACAAGGTTATTTCTGACAGCATGTGTAGATAAAACATTTAGCAACAATGTAAAACAGAATCATGTCAGTCAGCTTGGTTTTGCAACACAGAGGAGTTCTTGTTTTTAACATGGTAGAAAAGAATTTGCAGAAATGTTTATGATTTCTCTTTGGGTGGTGAAATGAATACGTTATCTCCCTGAGAAGTGTGAAAAGAATCCGAGTTTAGGGGGTTGAATCATATTTTTAAATCGTAAATGGGATTTTTTTATTCACCCAGGCCCCTAATTGCAACAAGCATGCACATTTGGTGCGCTGGAGACTGGACAGGCAGAATAGCAGCATCTTCTGGTGGGTTTGGCTCCGTTTAAAGACATGACATGACCTACAGCCAGGAAGGTGATAGGTGATAAATAAGGCAGCTTTGAGTCCACACCCCGTCTCCGCGTGGTCTAGGCTGACTAGAATAAAGCCGAGGTGGTAACGTCAGGCAGCGTGAAGCCTTTTAAACAAGGCCTCACACACGCAGCTCTACCGCCTTTATGAAATGGGCAGTGAGTTTTCCCACCGGTTTTTTTACTTTACTTTGGTGATGATAATGCTGCATAGTCAAGGTTTTTTTGGTTTTGTTTTGGGTTGTTTTTTTTTTTTGTATGGTTTTTTGGTTTGATTTTTGGTTTTTTTGGGTTGTTTTTTTTTTTTTTTTTTTTTTTTTTTTTGGTTTTTAGTTATTTTCACTCCAAATAGTTAACATTTTTGATGCTTCTGATGATTTTTCATGGCTTCGTTTTATGTGATTATTTAAGATAACCTCCAGTAGAAACAGTTCATCTTATGCCTTCAGAACTATTCTCTGCTCTTTTAAAAAACAAAGTTGCTTGTTACTTGTTCTTTGTGTTCTAGGCGCAGCTCAGTGGAAGATGATGCAGCCTGAAGACAGGAGCTCAGGTTTCTGTCCTGAACAAATCCTCTCAAAAAGAGAAAGAATCCTCCATTTAATTTTTGTCCATTTCAGTTTTCAGCATTTTGATTTGGGTCTCATTAACATTTGGTGCTTAGACAAGTCGTGCTTTTGTGGTGCTCATCTGTCAAGTGCTTGTTTTCTCGTCCTTGCTGCCTCTCCATGCCCAGAAACAAAGGTCAGGTCAGGTTCAGTGGTAGAACCCCAGAAGGGGAGCGGCTCTGTTGGGGAAACTCGGCGCCTCCGAAGTAGCAGTGGTCAGAGCAGTATTAGTTTTAGGCCGTTTGTCTCTTTCGCAGAAAAATACTTTAAAGCTCTGACTCTGGACCTGTCCCCTCAGTCTGTTTTCCACATAAGCGTCCCTGTCGTGGCCCTAGCAAGAATCGAGGGTTCAGAGCCATTGTCGGCTTAAGAGAAAGAAGTTGCATTCTGAATTGGGGCTGCAGGGGGCTAGAGGGGCTGGTGCTTCGTGATCACCCCAGCTGTCCTTGGGGAACTGAATGGGATGCTGGGGATTGAACCTGGGTTGGCCACATGCAGTGCAAGTGCCCTTCCTGTAGTCCTGTCGCTCCGACCGATGGACTGATCTTTTATTTTTGTTGTTTGGGGCCACATCTGGTGACGCTCAGGGCTTACGCCTGGCTCTGCGCTCTGGGATCACACCTGGCGAGCTCGGGAGCCATGGGGCAGACTGGGGATTATCCTGGGTCTACAGCATGCCAGACAAGCATCTTCAGCCTGGCTTACTTATCAGTCTGCAGCTTTATCCCTTTTGCCTTATTTTATGACAGATAACAAAGGGCTCTCAGGGTTCCTGAATCCCTGGACAGGCCCCCTCAGAAACCAGAGCTTCTTTACTAGGGGTGAGGGGATGGTTAGTTGAGGTGTAAAAACATAGGCATAGATGCTGTTCTTAGGTACAACTTAATCTTAAAGGTTGTCAGCATCAGGCGTGGGATTCTGAGATTCTGGAGGGAAGAGCATCTCGTCAGAGTTCTAAGTGACTCCTCAGCCTTCATCCCTAATGCCTGTCTCGTTCCATTCTGCTGCCATCCATTTCTTTTCATTTCTACCACTTTACTGACCACCATATTCCCCTGATGACAAATGTTCCAGACACGTTAGAGTTTGCAGAGCAACTGATGGTAGAGTCAGTGAGATGTCAGGTCCTCCGGTTTATTGTTTTTTCCGTTCTGCCAGGTAGTCCCACTTTCCCACCTGCACTGTAGCATCCGTTGTCAGCAGAACTCTACCGTAACATGGGGCGGGTAGAAATGAAATCCTTGAAATGAGGAAGCTAATCTCGTCTCAGCAGGGAGGCCAGACCTTGAGGGACCCCCTGGGAGTCAGCGAGGGCAGGAGCCGGTAGGTCCTCCTCAGCAGGGCCTTGTCGCTGTGAGTCGTGACGACACCAGCGACATTGAGCTCCACCAGGTGTTTCCTCATATCTCCTAGTTGATGCATCCACTCAGCATGAATTTTATCATTCTCGATGGTCTGTCCTCCTTAGCTAAACGGTCACTACAGGTTCATTTGTGGTTCTCACATGTCAGCAGTGCACACTGAATTGACTGGAATGTTTCCAATTCTTTTGGTAGTTGACATCGTGGCATCTTTAATTTCTCTTCTCCTTCTGCATATAGGGTAAGGGACTGTTCTTCTGAAGAGTATTTGCATGTAGTGGCCAAGAGATGGACGCTGAGCTCTGAAAGTACTTGCTGTGTAGCCTAACAGTGCCTCATACCATTGGAATTGTAATCTGCATTTCGGCAACAATGTTCCCAGTTGACTTGAGAAAACGTTAATAAAATATGCCTCCTGGTACAGCTTCGTGTCTGCCTAGTCATTTGCTCAGGTTTGGGATTTGGAGTTAAAAATAGCGTTTCTCACCTGAGGCTCATTGGCTGTGCCTGAACAGGAGTCTGGCCAGTCCAGTCTGAGCTACTGGATCATAGTGGGTAGAAGGGGGAAGTTTGCCTTTCAGAGAACCTGCCACGTGGGAACAGCCGAGTTAGTCTGCTCAATGCAGACCTCAGAACTCGGTAGCTAAGTTCAGAGCCCGCCCCAAAAGAGGGTGACATTCATGTTTTTATGTGCAGTTCTGATCCATTTTCCCCAGAATGGAAACAGTGAGAGCTTTTCATTGTGACTTGAGTGAATCGATGCCTTGCAATCGAAGCCTAACAAATACTAATTGGCTGGGGTTTTCTCTCTTGGCAGGAACTGGGGAGATGGGCGTGGGCTTATGTGCAGATGTCTTCAGTAAGCACAGGCGATAAGGCAATTGCTTTGCATGCATCTGAGACCCTAGTTCTAATTCCTGTCACTACATAGGGTCCCCAGCCCAGCCAAGAACAAGCCCTGGGCACAACCGGGCATTACCTTCCACACACACACACACACACACACACCAAAAAAAGGCTCAAGCCTGTGGAAGCTTTCCGATTCTGACATGCAAAGCACAGCTTGGAGGGTGCAGGAGAGTTGGTACAGCTAAACCCTGGACCTTCTTCTGGAAGGGAGGCGCGGATCTTCCTGAGGAAGGCAGGTGACTGCCACCTTGAGAGAAACTGTGGGTATTGCTGCTTCTTGGAAACGGATGAGTCAGAATCTGACCAAGAAATCCGGGAAAATACCAAATACCCACTTGAGAGCTGAGAGCGTGATAAGCTGGAAGGAGCAGAGGCACATCGGTGTCACGGAGCCAGATACTCGAAAATGGCTCAGCAGGTGAGTTGCCTTGCATGTGGCTGATCCGATAGATCCCGGGCACTCCTTTCGCTCCCCCAAGCACCTCTACAAATGAGCACAGCACTGCTGTGTGTGGCCCCAAAAAGGTACCAGGTGGGGCTTGGGTGCGGTGCATGGGCTTGATCCCAGACACAGGGCCGGGCGGGGCAAAGGTTCCGTGGTCCCAGCTACACATACACACTAGATAAGACAGTTGGCTCCCAATGGGCCTGCGAAGTGGCCAGAATCTTGGGTTTGTGACTCTGGGACCCCTCTCCTACCACATCCTTCTGCCTTTCAACCAAGCACACAGCTGAAGCGAAGTCCAACAAGTAGTGGCTGACAAAGGTCCTTTCTGCTTGGAAGCACCGTGCTGGTGCCTGTTTACATCGGGGCTTTAGAAATGTTCTCGGGGGGAAGAGTGGCTGACTACATATCCGACAAGAGCTTAATGCTCAGGACAGGGCTTAGGAGTGAGGCTTTTTGCTGCCAAGGACCATTGTGGTATCGCTTTCTGGGGGCCATACAGTTTGGGCAGCTGGGCCCCAGGCACCTGGGTCTTGCCCCATCATAGACTAGGGCCGTACCCCATGATTTCACGACAGGGTTACCTCCTACTCCTCTATTAGGAAGTTAAACACAACTTACTCTCCTCAGAAATCACTAGCACCCCAGTGATTTGAAGGGTCTAGTTCCATTATTTCCATAAAGGTAAATGCCCTCCCGTTGATCATCGATTTGCTCGAGCGGGCCCAGTAACGTCTCCATTGGAGACTTTGTTGTTACTGTGTCTGGCATATCGAATACTCTCGGTAGCTTGCCGGGCTCTCCGAGAGGGGCGGAGGAATCGAACTCGGGCCTGCCATGTTGGCTGCGTGCAAGGCAAATGCCCTACCCGCTGTGCTATCGCTCCAGCCCCATTATTTACTAAAATTATTTACTAAAATGCTTATTTAAAAAGCCAAAACCTGGAATTGGTTTTTCCCTCAACTGACAGGCTCAAGCACATTCTCTGACTTAGACTATCTCTGGCCTCTGACCTGTGCTCTTACACCAGCTTTTTCCTTCACTGTTTTTCAGTGACACAAGGACACCTGCATTAAGTCCCTGGGCTGTTTGTCATCTGAAAGGCTCTGGCTGTGTCCAGAGATTGTTTCTGGAGGTCTGCCTGCAGGTGAACATGTCTTTTCCTATTTCCCTGCATTTTAGGTGCAGAGTAAACTGTGTATTGGATAGTTTCCTTATAGTTCTTATAATAAGCTCAATTTTCAACTGAGTTTCAGATAAGCAGGAACTTGTAGCAATGTAAAATCCCGTTGCGGTGGTTTGTCAGTGAGATTTTAGCTATTCCCGTAAAAGTGACTCATTTGTGTTGCTCTCGACATCTGAATTATTAGGTCTGTTCCCCCCACACACAACTGTGGGTCATCTCCAGCCGAGAGACCAAAGGAAAAATGGAAAAATCAAAACAGGTGCTTACCTTGTGTGCAGCCAAACTGGGTTCCATCCCTGGCACCACATATGGTCTTCCAAGCATTGCCAGGATCTGAGCACTTCTGGGTATATCTCCTTTACCCCCCCCCCAAAAAAAATTAATTCCATTATATCTGAGCAGAGCAGAGTGATTTCACAGCCTGGACTTGTAGCTGGACTCCAGCTTCAGTCATCACTCTTATCACTACATCACTCTCTAACCATTATCCATCGGCTTGCTCGAGCGGGCGCCAGTAACGTCTGCATTCGTCCGAGCCCTGAGATCTTAGCAGCCTCTCCTTACTCGTCCTTCCCAACGGTGCCGCATTGGAGGCTCTCTCAGGGTCAGGGGAATGAGGCATATCAATGCTACTGTATTTGGCTATCGAATACACCCCGGGAGCTTGCCACACGGCAGAACTAGAGTCATAGGGACAAAATGTCTGGAAAGGATAAAGCGTATAAGGAGTCATAGGGAATTTAACCAAGGACCAATCTGTTATCTTTCTATGGGCCAAGCAACTACCCAGAGGATTGGTCAAAATAAATGAAGTATGTGAACATGGGGGAGGAAAACACTCGTATCAGAGATGGAGAGGCAGCACAGGGCTCAAGGTGCTTTCCTTGTAGACTTGACCTCAGTTTGGTACCACGTGATCCGCAGAAAGCCCCCAAGAGTATTCCTGAGCACAGCCGGCTGTGACCCAACCCCTCCCCCAGAGTAGAGATATCTAAGAGCCTCCCAAGAAGGTAACTGAATCTCTTAGGATGGTGGGATTGCAACGATTTTAAAAAACAAACAGCAACGATGAGTCAATGATAGCATTTTATTGGTGATGACATGACACTGGCAAACAACCACTACTACGTAAACAATCTTTTGAATGAATAGCTTAGTTTACTAAGGAGAAATATTTCTTTGAAACAGAAGGTCCAAAAGATTGTCTGAGCTCTCTACAGAAGCTCTCGGGCCCAGCGAAGGGTCTCAGCAGTGATCTTGACCAGCACCAGGTGCCCTCCCCACCATCGGTCGGTGTGTGCGTTTATTCCTGCCTGTGTCTGGGGGTGAGGAGCCGTGGTTTAGACGGGCTTCTGGGAAAAGATGTGCTCACACGAGACAGAGGAAGGCAGATGAAGTTATTTCTGGTCGATGGGTGAGCATTTGTCCTTGGCGATGATGAATGTGGGTGACAAGCAGTTGAGCTTCTGAATACAGAAGGGTCTGTTCAGGGCTATGCTTTTCCGGTAAAGTTTCTTTTTGGTCCGTGGTACCTTCAGTTCTTCCTTCTGGTACTCAGGGAAAGGCAGAGGGATGGGGGAGACTGGGCCTGGAGACCTGGGCGGGAGGCACCGCGTGGAGACCATTTTAACCAGTGACTGGGTGGTCGGGACGGCCGGAGGCTTTGCTGACGTGTCTTGGTACGGGGACAAAGTGGAGCTCTTGGAGATCTTCAAGTCGTCATAACTGGCGATCACTTGCTTGGTGGTGGAGGAACTTTTCAGAGAGGACGGCCTTGCGTTCCATTTATACTTGCCAGAGCTGCTCCAGTTCCATTTCGAAGGACTTTGTTCAAACTTGCACGAAGCAGAATTGTTTTTCCTTTTTTCCCGACTTTTATCTGCACCAGGTGTCTGAAGGCTCGAGGGGTCAGACAGCTTCAGTGGTCTGGTTTTGGGGGCAGCTCTGGAGGAAGAGGAGCATTCCGTGACCACTGGACAGAAGGTGTTCTGAGGCCGAGGCTTCTCTTTCTGTACAGTATTGTGCTGTAATCTTTCCATTTCCAGCAAGCGAGTGATCAGGGGATCCATAGAGCCGTCTAGAGGTTCCATGGTGACTTTCCAATTCTCTGATTTGGAGAAGGCCAATTTGTGCAGGTCCAGCGTGTTGAGAGGAGGGGGGAGGAAATCCGGATACGGAAATGCTTTGCTCGCTCCCTCTGTGAAAGAGCCCTCCACGGTGTCGATCTTTTCTGGCTTTAAATTCAGGTCCATCTTTTTAAAGTAGCTGAGCAAAGTATCGTTTGCCTTCTCGTTTTCTGATAAGTCACTCTCATCTGTCAGAACTTCTTCGACAATGCTGTTTCTCGGTTTCAGATCCCAGCTTGGGCCGGGTAGAGCTTCCCCACTGTGGTTCCCGGCCCCCGAAAACAAAGCCATGGGAGACTCGGTTTTGTCCTTATAGAAGTCCCCGTCGGCATAGGGCCAGCACAGGCCCAAGGGCATTTGCAGCCCAGCATAGGACCGCACTGGCTTCTCCACGGACGGGTTGACAGGCAGGCCTCTCAGGGTGAAGAGCTTGATGGGGCCACTGCTTATGCTAAAGCCACTTTCCATGGGACCTTTTCTGAAATCCCTTTGAAAAGAAAAAGAAAAGTTGATTCATGAATGGGTTATTGACTGGGATCAAAAGTGCTGTTAACGGGGCTGGAGCGACAGCACAGCGGGTAGGGCATTTGCCTTGCATGTGGCCAACCCGGGTTCGATTCCCAATTCCCAGCATCCCTAGGGTCCCCTGAGCACTGCCAGGAGTAATTCCTGAGTGCCGAGCCAGGAGTAACTCCTGTGCATCGCCAGGTGTGACCAAAAAAGGGGAAAAAAAAAGTGCCGTTAAAATGATCGTGGATGACAAACATTTGTCTGAGACTGGGTAATGCTTAGTTCTCAGTGGCTGATGGTCTCTGGCTCTCTGCTAACAGAACTGTCTAGGTAAAGGTAAAGGTAAAGGCCCTCCCGTTGTTCGTCAATTTGCTCGAGCGGGCCCAGTAACGTCTCCATTGGAGCCTTTGTTGTTACTGTGTCTGGCATATCGAATACGTCATGGGGAGCTTGCCAGGCTCTGCCGTGCGGGCGAGATACTCTCGGCAGCTTGCCGGGCTCTCCGAGAGGGGCGGAGGAATCGAACTCGGGTCGGCCATGTTGGCTGCGTGCAAGGCAAATGCCCTACCGCTGTGCTATCGCTCCAGCCCTACTGTTCGTAAATAGGTTCTGGTTACAGACAACTGTATGCAATTTCTCAACATAGGGATTAAAATATTAGCCTGGCATCCCTTTGTCTGTGCACAGATGTCCAAGTCAAATGGCTGACTGGTCATGAGCGGCCATGAGCTCGAAAGGGCCACCCGGAGCAGCCAGCCAGGGGCGGAGGAAAGGAGAGCCCAGTAGAATGGTTACATAAGAAATGCTCCTTGGGGCCCAAGGGAAAGAACAAGCGTTGGGCCGGGGAGAGCACTTGCCTTGCACATGGGTGACCCAGGTTCGATTTCTTGTACCACATATGGTCCCCCAAGCCTGCCAAGAGTGAACCCTGAGTGCAGAATCAGGAGTAAGCCCTGAGCACTGCCGGGTGTTGCCCATACAACACACACACACACACACACACACACTCATACACAAAGAGAAGAGGGATACGGCACTGGCCTTGCGTCCTGCCAACCCTCCTTGCTCTGTGCTCAGAGGACCCTATGTAGTGCCAATGATTGAACCAGGTTTGGCCCGCACACAAGATTTACCCCTTGTACTATCTTCCCAGCCATTGGAGGTTTTTGTTTTGTTTTGTTTTGTTTTGTTTGGGGGCCAAACCTGGCAGTGCTCAGGGCTTACTCCCGGCTCTGTGCAGAGATCACTCCTGGCAAGACTAGGGGAACCATATCAAGTGTCAGGGATTGAGCTTGGATTTGCCACATGCAAAGCAAACGTGCTGTCTGCTGTGCCGTCCCTCCAGCTCCACCACTCTGTGTATGTGTGTGTGTGTGTGTGTGTGTGTGTGTGTGTGTGTGTGTGTGTGTGTGTTTTAAATTACTGCAATCCAAGGAGAACCAAGGAGCCAGAGAGGGTGAGTATGCAGTGGGTCGGGCGCCACACGCCCTGCCTCTCCGTGTATGTTCTGCCCTTCACGGGATTAAAGCCAGTTCAACTCTTGGGACTTCTTGCCTTGAAATTCTTGTTCCCAGGTGAGATTCTTGTTCTCGTAAATTTCCTACCTCCCAGCCCCACTGGGAGCTCCACCACTGCCTCCCGGCGTGCCGTGAAGACATGCCACCCCAACAGGTAAGAGCGACCCAGCCGGGCCCCATAAACATTCTCTTCCAAGAAATGAACCAGTGTTTATGGTTCTTTCGGTGTTTTGTTTGTTTGCCACACCTGGTGGTGCTCAGGCCTTATTCCTCGTTCTGTGATTCGGGAACCATAGCGGGTACTGGGAATCCAACTCGGGTCAGCCACATGCAAGGCAGGCTGCGTGCCAGGCCAACACCCTATCACCCTCACCCCACTATAACCTGTGTTTGAAGAAAGAATCTCACTGGTTGCCATGCACACTAAAGTCAGCCACCAGCAGCTGTGAAAACAAACCTTCCAACCAAAATACGAACCCAACTCCGACAGCCGGGTTGCCCGCCTCAGTGCCCTCTCTGTGGAACGGGCAGGACAGCCCCTGCCGCACAGAACTTGCGGTGGGGGTTCACTGCTGTCGCTTTTCTGTGGTAGTTCTCTTTCCTTCAGGAGAGTGTCGACTCTCCGTCCACACCCTCACTGCAGGCCACAGTAGGCTCTGAGCTGCCCGCTCTCTCACCAGAAGCCCACTGGCTGTTCCCTCTGGGGGTTTAATTCCCCACAGTGATTTTCATGTCTAATGTTGTTGTTTTGTTTGGGGTCACACCCAGCAGTGCTCAGAGGTTATTCCTGACAGTGTTCACGAGCCATGTGGGGTGCCGAGGATCGAACCTGAGTTGGCCGCGTGCAAGGCCAACACCCTCCCCACAGTACTGTCACTCAGCCCCGCCTCCTCATGTATTTGAGACGAGTTATGTACTTGAATACCCACTGCCCCCCTGACTCGGGGTTCTCTCACCTGCTCTCCGAGGGGCTGTCTTCCTTCTGAGGGTAACTCCATAGGTGAAATGGCCCTTGTTTACTGTTCTGATAACAGAAACCGAAGACAATATTGGATTAGAATCCTGGATTTAACTTTTTCTTTTCTTTTTTCTTTATTTTTTTTGTTTTGTTTTGTTTGGGGCCACATACAGCAGTGTTCAGGGATTACTCCCTGCGGGGCTTGGGGAATAATTTAGGGTTCTGGGGATAGCAAACCGGGGTCGGCTACATGCAAGGCAAACATCCTACCCACTGTAGTATCTCTCCAGCGTCCAGCCTGACCTTTAAAAATTACGCTTTAGGAATATGATGACTCGGGGCTGGAGCAATAGCACAGCAGGTAGGGCATTTGCCTTGCATGCGGCCGGCCCGGGTTCGATTCCCAGCATCCCATAGGGTCCCCCGAGCACTGCCAGGAGTAATTCCTGAGTGCAGAGCCAGGAGGAACCCCTGTGCATCACTGGGTGTGACCCAAAAAGCAAAAAAAAAAAAAAGAATATGATGACTCAAAAGCGAGGCATGGATGGAACTCAGTAGTAGGGCACCTGCCTTGGATGTGTGAGGCCCTGGGTCTGATCCCAGGCACTGCAAACATAGTAATAATAATAATACAATGATGATAATAAAATCCCACCTGTGATCTTCTGGGAGAATGCTCTGGCAAGCTCAGTTCTAATATCAGTTGCTCTACAGGAATTTCCAGATGGCTCTACAAAGTGGCAGTAGACTTTTAAACACAATCTATCTCTGTTCCCTACTCTTGCATGTAATTCTTGCTCTAATCATTATATAGTAGATTCCTATGAGACTCACTTCAGTACATCTAGAAACCATTTGTTTTTATTGACTGAAGCAGAAATGACAAGAATCAGCCATAGATGTGAACTCAGCAACATTAAAATGAGTCGTTTGAGATTCAAATCGCCTTAAGATTATCTTCATGGAGGCTGGAGCAGTAGCACCGCGGGTGGGGCATTTGCCTTGCGCACAGCCAGCCCAGGTTCAATTCCCAGCATCCCATATGGTCCCCCAGCACAGCCAGGAGTAATTCCTGAGTGCATGAGCCAGGAGTAACCCCTGAGCATCGCTGGGTGTGACCCAAAAAGCAAAAAAAAAAAAAAATTTCTTTATCTACTGCTAGTTAGGTGTTTTAATCCAAAAAGTGAATAAACGATTAATTTTCTCACTACCTTCGTATAACAGTAATATAAATTAATACAAATAGTAATTAGTGGCTAGTCTGCATCATTGTAAAATAGGAAACACTTCCAGTGGAAGAACTCTACAGAAATGAAATATAAGTTTAAGGAAAGAAAAAAAATTTAAATCACATAATTTAAAAGTGTTCTGTGAATTATTAAAAATTAAATAGTTTTCCTCACCTTGTTGATTTTGCCTGAAAGAATACACACATGGGAAAAAATATAATTAATAATTACATAAGTATGATTATACATTTATTTTTCGAGCAGCCCCCCCCTTGAGTCTGAGTGCTTGTCTGAGTCAGGAGGAGGAACAGACGTGTCCGTGCATCCCGCGCGAAGGTGTGCATGCCTCTCTTACCACCTGCTGCGCTCTCCCTTCCAGAGAGGGGGGCCTTGCTTTCGGGCGCGGGGACTTCGGGATCCAAATTCCAGTGAGGTAAGTTCTAAAACAACATCGATGTCAGGGTAAGCGCCACGGTCAGAAAGCTGAAGAAGTCCAGGTGCGGTGGCTGCACGTGACAAGAGACTGCCCAGAGGCCAGCCGGCGGGTGTGAGACGGGCAGCCTCTGCCAGCCGGACGGTCACCTGTGCCACCGTCTCCCGCCTCAGGAGTTCATTTCCATTAGGCTAAAAGTCATGGTGCACAAGGCCAACCACATAAAGGGGTGAAGAAATACAGTGGGCTGGAGGGACAGTGCAGGGGTCAAGGTGCTCGGAGGGTCCCTGGAACACAGCAGGAGCCCACCCCTTGGCACTTGGGAGCATGCCCAGAGCTTTTTATGCGTATATTGTAGGGAAGAGGTGGGGGGAGGGGGGAGGAGGTAGTGCCCACCAGGCAATGCTCAGGGCTTACTCCTGGCTCTGTGCTCAGGGATCACTCCTAGCAGGATTGGGGGACCCAGTGGAATGTGGGAATTGACCCTGGGTCAGCTGTGTGCAAGGCAAATGCCCTACCCACTGCTCTGGCTCCCTGCATACAAAAAAAAAAAATTTAAGTCTACTTCAGTATGTCCCTCCCACACATTGGCACAACAACCAAATTTTCTCTATATCTGACAGATCTGAAAGCGATAGCACAGTGGTAGGGCATTTGCCTTGCATGCGGTCGGCCAGGCCGAGCCAGGTTCAATTCCTCCACCCCTCTCAGAGAGCCCGGCAAGCTACTGAGAGTATCTCGCCCACACGGCAAAACCTGGCAAGCTCCCCCTGATGTACTCGATATGCCAAACACAGTAACAACAAGTCTCAAAGTGGAGACGTTACTGGGCCCGCTCAAGCAAATCGATGAACAATGGGAGGACAGTGCCACAATGCTGAGAGCCTCAAAATGCCTTCCTTGGACGCGAACAAAAATCTCTCATCCTCACTTTAAACTCAGCACCAATCGATTGGTGCTTTTCCCAATCTTTTCCCAGTGCCAGATCTGACCAACACTCAGAAAAGGCTCAAGAGGATGGAGAGAATCCAGGGGTTGAGGCCCTTGTACCCTGGGAAGGGCATTTGTCTTGCACACGGCCAGGCTGGGCTCAATCCCTGGCACCCTCTAAGATTCCCTGAAACCACCAGGGCTGATCCCTGAGCATGGCCAGGTGCTGACAAAACATAAAAACAAAAATTAATTGGCAAAGGTTAATGCCTGCTAGATATGTTTGATTTGTGTGCTGGTTTTGTAGGGGAAAAGTATATAGAGAGGATCATAATCATTTATTCTGGAAAAGAGGGAAATCAAGTTAATTTTTTAAGTAATTTTTTTTTACTCGAGCGGGCCCAGTAACGTCTCCATTGGAGACTTTGTTGTTACTGTGTCTGGCATATCGAATACTCTCGGTAGCTTGCCGGGCTCTCCGAGAGGGGCGGAGGAATCGAACTCGGGTCGGCCATGTTGGCCGCGTGTAAGGCGAACGCCCTACTGCTGTGCTAAGGAGAACACTCAGGTTGTCTTTCTTTGTAATGAGAAAGGCCTGACAAAGGACATGGAGTGGCATTAGCGTCATGCCCTACTGAGATGGACGGGGAGAAAAAGGCTTACAAAGTATTTAGAGTTGGAGCTGGGACCAGGGAAGACACTTGCCTTGCAAATAACTGACCCCTGTTCACTCCCAGGTACCACATATGGGCCCCTGAGCACTGCCACCCTGAACACAGGGTCAGAAATTAACCCCTGGGACCGGAGCGATAGCACAGTGAATAGAGCGTTTGCCTTGCACGCAGCCGACCAGAGTTCAATTCCCAGCAGCCCATAAGGTCCCCCAAGCACCGCCAGGAGTGATTTCTGAATGCATGAGCCAGGAGTAACCCCTGTGCATTGCCGGGTGTGACCCAAAAAGCACTGTAGCACTGTCCTCCTGTTGTTCATCGATTTGCTCGAGCGGGCCCAGTAACGTCTCCATTGTGGGACTTGTTGTTACTGTGTTCGGCATATCGAATACGTCACGGGGAGCTTGCCAGGCTCTGCCGTGCGGGCGAGATACTCTCGGTAGCTTGCCGGGCTCTCCGAGAGGGGCAGAGGAATCGAACCGGCTCGACTGGGCCGGCTGTGCAGAAGGCAAATGCCCTACAGCTGTGCTATCGCTCCAGCCCAAAAAGGAAAAAAAAAGAAGAAGAAGAAGAAGAAATTAACCCCTGAACACTGCTGCTGGGTGTGATCCAACACGCCTCCCCCAACAAAAAAAATTTTTAAGGTGGGGCCAAAGAGATAATACAGCAGGTAGGGCACTTACCCTGTACAAGGCCTTCCTGGCACCCGAGGGTCCCCCAAACCACCAGGAGTGATCCCTGAGCTCAGAGCAAGACTAAGTCCTAAACACTGCTGGTTGTCACCCCAGAACAAAACAAAACCCCCCAAATTCAAAGCTGGGCTTGACAGGCAGGAGAGTAAACTTCCGCTGTCTGCCTGGGACAGCACCATGCGTCAGGGCTGTCGGAGGGAGGGAAGGCAGCGTCCTCCAGCGGCGTGACGCCGAGAGAAACGTCCTCAGCTCTCGGGGTGGAGGGAGGCGGGGGGACCATGCTGCTGAGGTCGGGCACGAACGCTTTGTCCCCGGAAGGCCGGTGCCCCACTGCCCACGTGTGGGCCAAGGCCACCCAGGGCACGGGAGAGAGGTGGGAAGAGGCTGGCGCGTCCCCGGGCGCAGAGCAGGCCAGCTGCTGGCTCAGAGCAGCAGGGCGCAGGTGGCCCGCAGCCAGGCGGCCTGCGGGAGGGCTGGGGAGGCCACCAGGGGCGGCCGCCTACCTCTTGGGAGACATGGGACACTCGCAGGCTGCTGCCCCCGCTCTCACCGCTTCTTCTCCCCATTTTGTTGTCACTGCTCCTTTGTTTCCTTAAAAACCTACAAAGGTGGTGCGACAGGGACAGGCCCGTTTGCAGGTCAGGCTCTGTCGGAGAGGAAGCCTGGGCTGTTTCCCAGCCAGGGGGGAAGAAATTGCTTTCCGGAGAGGGGTGGGTGGTGGTGGGTGGGTGGGGTGGGGAGTACGGAAGCAGAACGGGGGGCATCGTAAATTCAGCCTGGAAGAAAGGGGGCAAACAGGAGGGGGCAGAGACGAGCACTCATCAGGCGGGAGATAACCGAAAATGAGAATAGGGACATATTTGGCAAATTATACGCTTTTTCCCCCCAAAGAGCCGAGAACTATGCTTTAAATTCATCAAGACAGGGGCTGGCGCAATCGCACAGCGGGGAGGGCGTTTGCCTTGCACCCCATAGGGTCCCCCGAGCACCGCCAGGAGTCATTCCTGAGTGCAGAGCCAGGAATAACCCCTGTGCGTTGCCGGGTGTGACCCAAAAATCAATCAATCAATCAATCAATAAATTCATCAAGACAAAAGCACCTGGGGGCTAGAGCAGTAGCACAGCAGCGAGGGCACTCGCCATCCTCGGCATGTGGCCGACCCAGGTTCGAACCCCGGCACCACATCCGGTTCCCTGAGCACTGCCGGTGTGGCCCCCCCAAAAGCAAAACACAGAAAGACTCCTGGCCTTAGCAGGTGAGGCTCCTGCCCTGCACGTGGCTGATCAGGCTCTATGCCGGGCACCACGTAAGGTCCCCTGAGGGGCCCCTCCCGAACTGATCCCTGAGCACTGCCAGGTGTGGCCCCAAATCCGAACATAAAGGCTCCACTGGAAGACAGGGTGAACCCCCGAGGCACCCCCCTGTGGAAATGTCAACTCTCATGGTCCCTGGGGCCCCGTGGGGGTCACAGATTGGCTGATCTGTGGGGCCACAGCCGGGGAGTTTGGGGAAGGGGTTTGGGGGCATCCATCCACAGCCTCCTGGAGGTGCCCGAGGGTGGTGCTAACGGGTGCAGAGGTCCCGCTCCACCTGCGGGGTCAGGGCCTGGGCCTGGACCAGTGGGGGCTGGGCAGGATCCAGGGTGGAATCAGGCCACTGTCTGAGGTAAGTCACTCTGAGGTGAGTCGGGACAGTGCCTGAAGGGCTGGGGCAGTATCTGAGGAGGTCAAGGCAGTGTCTGAGGGGTTTGAGCAGTATCAGAGGGGGCCAGGGCAGTGTCCTGAGAGGGTCAGGGCAGTGTTCTGAGGGAGTTGGGGCAGCGTCTGTCTGAGGAGTCTGGGCAGTGACTGTTTTTTGTTTGCTTTTTGGGTCACACCCAGCGATGGTCAGGGGTCACTACTGGCTCTGCACCCGGAAATTACTCCTGGCAGGGCTTGGGGGACCATATGCGATGGCAGGGACAGAACCAGGGTTGGCTGCATGCAAGGCAAATGCCCCGTTCACTGTACTATTGCTCCCGCCCACAAGGGCAGTGTCTGAGAGGGCAGGAGCCGCACCTAAGTGGGATTAGGGCAGTGCCTGTGTGAGGGGGAGTGTCTGTCTGAGGTGGATCAGGCAGTGTCTGAGGGGATGGGGCAGAGTCTGAGGGGATGAGGGGGCTCTTGGCCGTGTCTGAGGGGATGAGGCAGTCGGGATGGGGCAGTGTCTGAGGGGCTCAGGATAGTGTCTGAGGGGATGCGGTGGAGTCTGAGGAGGCCCAGGGCCCTGTCTGTCTGAGGGAATGAGGTGGTGTCTAAGGGTCAGGGCAGTATCTGAGGGGCTCCGGGCCATGTCTGTCTGAGGGGATGAGGCAGAGTCCGAGGGGTCCGGTCGGGGCAGCGTCTGAGGGGATGAGGCGGGATCTGAGGGGGTTGGGGCGTGTCTGAGGGGATGAGGCAGTCAGGGGGTGGGACAGCGCCTGAGGGGATGAGGTGGAGTCAGAGGGGGCTCAGGGCCGTGTCTGTCCGAGGGGTCGAGGCAGCATTTGAGGGGATGGGGCGGCGTCTGAGGGGCCCAGGGCCATGTCTGAGGGGATGAGGCAGAGTCTGAGGGGTCGGGGCAGCGCCTGAGGGGATGAGGCGGGGTCTGAGGGGGCTCAGGGCCGTGTCTGTCTGAGGGGATGAGGCAGTGTCAGGGGTCGGGGCAGCGTCTGAGGGGATGAGGCAGAGTCCGAGGGGTCGGGGCAGCGCCTGAGGGGATGAGGTGGGGTCCGAGGGGGCTCAGGGCCGAGTCTGAGGGGATGAGGCAGAGTCCGAGGGGATGGGGCAGCGTCTGAGGGGATGAGGCAGAGTCCGCGGGGGCTCGGGGCCGAGTCTGTGTGAGATGAGCGGTCGGGGCGGCGCCTGAGGGGATGGGGCTGCGGAGTCCGAGGGGTCGCGGGGCAGCGTCGGGGGGGCGGGGGGGCGGACGTCCGGGGCGGGCCCGGCGGCGGCGGCGGCGCGAGCGGCCCGCGGGCGCCCTCACCTACCCCACGGCCCCGCGGGCCCACGCGTCGGCGCGGGCGCTGCCTCCGAGGGCGCCGGCGCGCGGCCAGGGCGGCGGCGGGGGCGCGGCGGGGCCGCCGGGGGGCGCCAGGGCGGGCAGCGGGCGGGCGGGCGCGCGCGGCGCGGGGGCGCGCGGGCGGCGGGCGGGCGCCGAGGCGCGGCGGGGCGGCGGCAGGCGCGGCGCGGCGGGCGGCGGCGGCGGCGGCGTCGGGGCGGCGGGGGCGGCGCCGGGCGGGGCCCGCGGGGTCGCCGTCAGCGGCCGCCGCGCCGGGCCGGGCCGCGCCCCCTCGGCCATGGCGGGGCCGCCGCGCCCGAGCTGCCGCAACGCCCGCCCGGGAACGCGGGGCGCCGGGGACGGGCCGTTGGCCACCGCGGGCGGGCGGGCGGGCGCGGGTCGCGGGGCGGGGAGGGGGCCTGGGGCCGGGCCTCGCTCTCTCACGCACACACGCACCTCACACACACCTCACACATTCACACTTCACACAGACACACCTCACACATTCACACAGACACACCTCACACAAAGGCACAGACACACACCTCACACATACACACGTACCTCACACACACACTCACACCTCACAAACACACACCTCACACACTCACACAGACACACCTCACACATTCACACAGACACACCTCACACAAAGGCACAGACACACACCTCACACATACACACGTACCTCACACACACACTCACACCTCACACACACACACCTCACACACACCTCACACCTCACAAACACACACCTCACACACTCACACAGACACACCTCACACAAAGACACAGACGCACACTCACCTCACACATACACTCGTACCTCACACAGACACTCACACCTCACACACACCTCACACATTCACTCACACACTCACACAGACACACCTCACACAAAGACACAGACGCACACTCACCTCACACATACACATGTACCTCACACAGACACTCACACCTCACACACACCTCACACATTCACTCACACATTCACACACACCTCACAAACACACACCTCACTCACACAGACACACCTCACACAAAGACACAGACGCACACTCACCTCACACATACACACGTACCTCACACACACACTCACACCTCACACACACACCTCACATACACCTCACACCTCACAAACACACTTCACACATTCACACACACCTCACACACTCACACAGACACACTCACCTCACACATACACACGTACCTCACACACACCTCACACACACACCTCACACACACCTCACACCTCACAAACACTTCACAATTCACACACACCTCACACACTCACACAGACACACCTCACACAGACACAGACACACTCACCTCACACATACACACGTACCTCACACACACACTCACACCTCACACGCACATTCACCTCACACACATTCACACACTCAGACACACCTCAAGCATACACACCTCACACCCCGCATTCACACACACACATACACACTCACACGTTACACACACCTCACACACACACAACCAGTCACATACCTCACACTCACATTCACACCCTGCACTCACACACACCTCCATGCTCTCACGTACCTCACACATATCACATTCACACACTCCACACTCACATATACCACCACACTCATACACCTCACACACACACACACCCAACATTCTCACATACACACACCCCCCACAACCAAACACACTGCACTCAAACCCCCTGCATGCACACATAAACACACCCGCACTCTCATACACACTCCCCACAATCACACACACTGCACTCACATACACAGCCCCAACACACCCTCAACACACGCACAGTATTCACACCACGCTCAACACACACACCCTGCACTCACAGACCCCACACTCTCTTGCACACACATTGCACTCACACACAGCCCCTGCATTTACACACACATCACTCACACATACCTTTCACCCACAGTCTCACACACACACATACTTACACGTTCACACAAACACACCCCAGCACATGCAAATATCATGCCTTCTAGAGTTAAGCCCCAGAGTATCTTTTTTTTTTTTTTTTGGTGATGTACAGGGCCTGCCTGGCTCATGCACTCAGGAATTCCTCCTGGCCGTGCTCGGGGGACCATATGAGATGCTGGGAATTGAACCCGGGTCGGCCGCGTGCAAGGCGAACGGCCTTCCCAGAGTATCTTTGACATCCAAACCTCCCTCCCTCCCTCTCTCCCTTTCCTTCCTTCACCTGGTGTCCAGGACTACGCCTGCCAGTGCTCATGGCAGCATATGCGTTGCCAGGGATCAAGCCGGGAATTCACTTTCTTTCTGCGCTGCCCTAAGACCACTCCTGGCATTCAGTCCTAGCATGAGACACACCTATGTTTAACCCTTTATTTGCTTAGGTGATCCAAGGAGCGAGCGAAGGTAAAAGACCTCTGCGTGTGACAAGCCCAGAATCATGGTGGAGTGGTTTGAATGGGTGGAAGATGGAGTCTCAAGCCTCTCACTTGGCAAGTCAGCTTGCCTGCTGCCTACCTGCCTCTGGACTGAGGCGATGCTGTTCACCAGGGTGATGGGAAAGCGCTTCGCTCTAGTCTGCTT